TTTCTGGCAACTTGACCATGCAGCTCATTTTGGTTCAAGTATCGTCGTATTGTGCTCATTGAAACTACCACACCGTCTTTTCCCAGAGCCTGTATTTCTCCCGAGGTTAACCTGTGGGTTTTTCTTTGTATTCCAAACAATTCTTCTGGCAGTTGTGGCAGAAATCTTTCTTGGTCTACCTGACCTTGGCTTGGTATCAAGAGATTCCTGAATTTTCCACTTCTTAGTAAGTAATTGAACAGTACTGACTGGGATTTTCAAGACTCTGGATATCTTTTTTTAATTCTTTTCCATTTTTATAAAGTTTCATTACCTTGTCATGCAGGTCTTTTGACAGTTCTTTTCTGCTCCCCATGGCACAATATCTAGCCTGCTCTGTGCATCCACATGAGAACTAACAGACTCATTGACTATTCATACACAGAGACTAATTGCAATTTAAAAGTCACCTTGTGTGTCTGTAACAAGGTCAAACATTCAAGGGTATGTAAACTTTTGATCAGGGCATTTGGGTGATTTCTGTTATCATTGTAACTTAAAAAGGAGCCAAACAACTATGTGATAATAAATGGCTTCATATAATCCCTATCCTTCAATAAAATAAAAAAAATTGCATGATCAGTCATATTTTCAAAATCAATGCCAAAATTTCACAATTTCTGCCAGGGTAAGCAAACTTTGGGGTCCAACTGTATTAATATATTGGAGGTGATGAGGAACAGGAAAACATTATGCATTCCGCACAGCTTCAGTCCTTCTTGGAATGCTATCATGCTGCAAGTGGGATATTTTACCACTAATGCTCCACTCCTTCAAGAGATGGAGGAGGTGGAAAATGATTTCTTACAGTGAACTCCTTAAACTCCCATTTTTCACTGATAGTTAGATTGGTTAAATGTGAAGGCTGTGTTTATGAAATCCCTCTTGAGTTTCTTTATCTTTGTTTTTCAGAGCATTATTATTCAAGAGTACATCTGGAGCTATAAAAGGATCTAGTGTTCCTCGGCCATTCCAGGTTCTGTAGCACAACCAACAAACCGAACGACACTCAAGAGATAGCTAACATACCATTATGGCCCAAGCTTACTAGTTGGCAGCAGATATTATGGGTTGCAGGTATCCTTTGGTTTTCTGCATACATAAACCTGACCAAATGCAGAAACTGTTGAAAAGATTTATTATACCATATTAAATGTTTTTTTATTTTTAGTGGTCCACCTTTTGTATTCCTTACACCATGTTGCAAGTATTTAATTCAAGTGTTTTGAAGTTAAAAGCAATCCATCTCTAAGAATATCCATGTTCTAAGTTACTTTTGTCAATCTCACAATTTGTTTTATTGATTTGAATTTTGTCTTATGCTTGAATTACTTTTGAGACACTTTTTTAAATTATGATTTGGTTTGCGAATTCAGTTATCCAGTTTTTATCCTCAGCGGAACTCTATTTCTTGCTTTTAAAACTCTCTCACAGCAACGTGCACTTTCAGACCTTTTATTAGCTGTCATCTACTGGTATTTGGTAATCAACCAAATGGCAAAACTTTGCAATTGCTTATGATATTGTGAGTTTATGAATTCTATGTTACATAACAGTTAACAATATCTAAATCTGCCACTTACAAGTGGATGCCAAAGAATCGCTTAACAAAATACTTCTAAGAGGGCTTAACCCTATAATTCACGTATACAGAAAAATCGCTGAAAATGACCAGAGGACAAGAAGGAGGGATCCAAACATATTTAAAAAAAACAAAACAAAAAACTTTATCAAGTATAAAAAGTGTAATAAAAGTGAAATATTGCACAACTTAATAATTCAGAAAAATAGGCTCACCAATCCTAAAAGGGGCAAATAAGAGAAGCTGGGAGCTAACTGGATACATTTATATAAATACAGAGTATCAGTAGCTCACAGCTAAATGGATAGAAAGTGTACATTGCATTAATTGTCTGCCATTGTTTCGATATATCTTTAGATCAAAGTTCCTCCTCCATAAACTAGTACTTTATCCAAAAAGCCAAACAACTGGAAAAACAAGTCCCTAAATCACCTTGGCTAGTTGGGAGCAGCCTCTCAGGCCTTCCATAGCAGAAGGCTCACCCTTACCTAGGTCAGCGGGGTTGTGCTGCTCTTTGACCACAAATACAACCTGCTCAGGTGGAGAAATATCATTAGGCAACTTTTCTGTATACTTCACAGTTACAATGTTATTCCTATGAGAGCCCTGTTATCATGTCCATCTCCTATACAAATATAAATAAATACAATGGGTAATCAAAAGAAAACCCATTCCCATACATTTTAAAATGTTACAATTAACATATGGTTATTTTAAAAATAAATACATTTTATCTGTATATTGTACTAGCAGAAATGCCAACTTTATGAAGTTGGCCCTACCCTTAATCCTCAGCAAAGAGGTCTATGTTGAAACCTGTGCAACAGTGAAGAAATGGAGAACTGGAAATGGAGAAATTGAGGTAATATAGGAATGGGGTTGCTGATATCACTTGATTCTGATGCCAATGTGCTGCATCATTAGGCAGGGCCAGGAACTGATCAAAGTGGTAGGAGCAAGGCAAGATCAGAGGGGTGGGTGTTGTAGTTTAACACCCGTGGAATTCCAAGAATGGCAGTTCTGGAGTGTGGGTTAGAAGGTAAATAGAACCATAATAGTTTCCAAAGCAAATATATAATATAATAATATACAGGATACTTACACCATATATGTGCACCTTCAAACAGTGTATGAAAATTGACTCTGTCTCTGTGGTCTTTTCCCTGCCCCTGCTTAATTCCTTGTACAGAAACAGGGAAGACCATAGAGACTAACCATTGGTTTTCAAACACTGTTTGACCCAATTATATGGCTGAAGGATTTTCTGTTATATACTAAAAGTAGGGATGAGTTTAACCACCTTTTTCTTGACATGTATGTAGTTTAAAAATGCATGTATTTCCTTTTAAAACTTGATGAAAGGATTATTATATAATAAAATTGTTTGGAGATAACAGATGTCCTTTAACTCCAGAACAATGCAATTGATTAATTCCCAGAAAGCCAGGCACATATCGCACCTCCTGGCACATCTTCATTTCATAACTCTATGGTAAAAACACTGAAACTTTCCCACCTTTCAATGTCTGCCCAGTGGAACTGCACTCCCCTGTCATCTAATGACAACTAAACAGAAACCATATGGCATGTGGAGGAGCTCGAAGGCCAGCCTCCCATCTAGAAACAATTGACCCTCTGTTATGGACTCAGCAGATACTGTGGCTAACCATCTGGTTTGGCATGGATGGGACACTTTATATTTATGTGGTTGGACTTAATTTAAATGTATTGAATGCCCATTTTATGTGTACCTTCCTCCCCCACCTGTGCCTTGTTGCTTTTCGAGTTGGGTGTTGCCCCATTGTTCCAGGAGAGTTTTTCCAGATTAATTTAAATTGGCTTCTCTGCCACTGCCACTGCCTAAAGTCTCCCATAGCATCTACAGTGCTTGTTCCCACCCTTCCTTGTAAACATTGTGCTCCATTTGGTAATTTAAACATATTTGTATTATTGGTTGCTCTCCCAAATTCTGTTACTGTCTGATTGTTATGCTTTGCCTTTACTTTGTGTTTTCCTATATTAACCAATGTCTTTTCCCTTTATTATGTTGTATTTCATGTTTGGGGAGAGGTATTAAAGAGCTATTCAATGATTCATCAAGTGACCAGCTGGGCTTATGAGAGTGGAAAAGAGCTAGAAGACATCCCAGAAATTGCTTCACAGAGTCCTTGCAGACAGAGAGAAGGGACAAATGTTATAGCAGCGTTACAGCCTGGTCCTCAAGCCTGAGACTAGTCACCCTGTTCCTGTTACAAGATGGAAAGTTGATTTGGGACATGACAGCGTGTATAATAAAATTTTACCTATATGTTTAGTATTGATTTAGCATATGGGTATTATAAGGTGTGTTAAACTAAAGTACATCGGAGTTACGGATGTGTCTGTAACAAGTTGTGCATGTGCATATAACTTTAATGGTTCCTAAAACTGCCTCTCCAAACCTACAGAGACCCTTATCATGTAGACACACATCAACGTACTGCATCCTCTGCCCTGAATCTTTGCAAAACTTGTATACCTCAATCTCACTTCATTACTTTAAATCAACATTCTAGCATCATTGCTAGAGAAGGTTGCTACCTCAATTTTGTACCACTTCCCTCTTTACATTCCCAGCAATGGTACTGTAAAAAACCCAAAACAACCTACTTTTAAAGGAACACTATAGTCGCCTAAATTACTTTAGCTAAAAAAAACTGTTTTAGTGTATAGATCATTCCCCTGCAATTTCACTGCTCAATTCACTGTCATTTAGGAGTTAAATCACTTTATTTCTGTTTATGCAGCCCTAGCCACACCTCCCCTGGCTATGATTGACAGAGCCTGCATGAAAAAAAAAACTGGTTTCACTTTCAAACAGATGTAATTTACCTTAAATAATTGTATCTCAATCTCTAAATTGAACTTTAATCACATACAGGAGGCTCTTGCAGGGTCTAGCAAGCTATTAACATAGCAGGGGATAAGAAAATCTTAATTAAACAGAACTTGCAATAAAGAAAGCCTAAATAGGGCTCTCTTTACAGGAAGTGTTTATGGAAGGCTGTGCAAGTCACATGCAGGGAGGTGTGACAAGGGTTCATAAACAAAGGGATTTAACTCCTAAATGGCATAGGATTGAGCAGTGAGGCTGCAGGGGCATGTTCTATACACCAAAACTGCTTCATTGAGCTAAAGTTGTTCAGGTAACTATAGTGTCCCTTTAAATATGTTTCTGCAATGCTGTAGAAATCACACTCAAACATGCGTTGTCTATTGCAAGTGCATGTAATTGTTATACCTCTTTATTCTTCTACTCTTGGATCACATATAGCCTATATCTCAGAATCCTAATCCACTTTACCCCCTTTACTCCATTTTTACACCCTCATCTCCTGCTGGCTTCTCTTTTTTCCTATCAGCTTCAAAATTCAAGACCTGGCCATTTACCTTTACTTTAAACAAAATCCTTCCACTTTATGTAATGAATATATAATTATTCGTAATTCAGCTGTTAAGCAACTACTTACCACCTTGCATGATCTGCATGTAGCTATTATGTACAGTCACTTGATGTAACACTAATGCAACCCCCAATATAGCCCTATACCCTACCAATGTCATGCCCCCTTCCATTTCTGATTTTATTTCCAAGCATGCCAGAACAGAGCAATGATTTGTTTCTATATTCCTCTTGCAAAGCATGAGATGTGTTAGCTAGAGGAAAAAATACAGTTCTGTTCAAAAGTTTGCATACCCTGGCAGAAATTGTGAAATTTTGGCATTGATTTTGAAAATATGACTGATCATGCAAAAAAAAAGCATTTTATTGAAGGATACTGATCATATGAAGCCATTTATATCACACTAGTTAAGATGGCAGTTAAAGGTTAATTTCCCATACCTGTGGCTTTTTAAATTGCAATTAGTGTCTGTGTATAAATAGTCAATGAGTTTGTTAGCACTCACGTGGATGCACTGAGCAGGTTAGATACCAAGCCATGGGGAGCAGAAAAGAACTGTCAAAAGACCTGCGTAACAAGGTAATGGAACTTCATAAAGATAGAAAAGGATATACAAATATATCCAAAGCCTTGAAAGTCAGTATTGAGTGGAAAATTCTGGGATCTCTTGATACCTGTCACGTACTGTTCCTGCTGCGGATCATTTTTGGCGATGGCTTCTGGTATCCAGTACTCTTTTTACAATTCTTGTTTAGTTTTTCTTGGTTTTTCTGGTTTTCTATTCTATGTCTGGTTTTCTTTATGCTGGGTTTTCTGGGTTCATTCCTTTATTCCGTTCCCGGAATTCCCAGTCTGTTGGATTCCTTCAGATGTTTCGGGGTTTTTTTGCCGCACCCGTTCCTTTGCCATTAATCCTTTTTGTTTCAGTCTGGTCCTGCAAGCAGTGGTCTCATTACTTCTGCTCCTTTCTTAGCAGGTAAGTGCTGTGTATGTTTTATTGTTGTTTATTTAGTCATGCATATCTAGGCAGTTAGGACCCACCGTAATTAGAGTACTTTGGCGCAGTGGTGGGCTGCATACATCTTGGCCATTTATGTATGTCTAAATCTCCAATGTTTTACATAGATAGTACTTGTTTTGCCTTGTATCTCTGTTTTATTTTGTCTTCCCAGTTCATGTACAGTCCTGTCCCGTCTATGCCGTTTTCTGGTTTCCATCTCTTTTCTCATGTGTTGTGTACATGTTCTGTCCTGCTCCGATTCTGGGTTCGTCTAGTCTAGTCTTGTCTTATCTTGTTTGGTGCCTGTACTAGTCTTGCCTTGTTTCTAGTACTGGATACATATCTGCTGCAGAGCCTCCCTATCCTGGGAGGTCTGCATATTTTCTCTTAGTTCCTGGGGTCCACAGAAGCTGCATCAGGGCCCTGGTATGTGGCCGCAGAAACCCTGGTGCTCAACACCAGGGGGCATGTGGTTACCCTGCACCAGGCCCTGATTATTCACTTTCACGAGGTTAACTCCTATCATCATCAGGCACACAGGGGTCCCGGTCTCCGTACCATCACCTGTGACAATACCAAGTCAAGGTCAGGTAGACCAAGAAAGATTTCAGCCACAACTGCCAGAAGAATTGTTTGTGATACAAAGAAAAACCTACAGGTAAACACACGAGACATACAGACTGCACTTGGAAAAGACGGTGTGGTTGTTTCAAGGAGCACAATACGACGATACTTGAACAAAAATGAGTCACATGGTTGTGTCGCCAGAAAGAAGCCTTCACTGCACTAATGCCACAAAAAAGCCTGGTTACTATTTGCCCGACAACACCTTTACATGCCTCACAGCTTCTGGCACCCTGTAATTTAGAATGACGAGACCAAAAATAGAGCTTTATGGTCACAACCATATGTGCTATGTTTGTAGAGGAATCAACAAGGCCTTTCCCACGCTGAAGCATGGTGGTGGCTCACTGATGTTTTGGGAGGGTGTGAGCCCTAAAGGCACAGGGAACCTTGTGAAAATTATACTGGTTGACAATTTGTATTCTTCTGCACAAAGGCTGTGCATGGGACACTCTTAGATTTTCCAACTTCACAATGACCCTAGGCACAAGACCAAGTTGACCCTGTAGTGGTTACAGCAGAAAAAGGTAAAGGTCCTAGACTGGCCATCACATCACAGTCTCCTGACCTTAATATCATCGAGCAACTCGGGGGAGATCTTAAATGTGCTGATGACCAAAGACTTTGCATGACCTGGAGGCATGTTGCCAAGACGAATGGGCAGCTATACCTTCAAAAAATTAGGGGCCTCATAGACCACTATTACAAAAGACTGCATGCTGTCATTGATTTGTCATTGTTCTGTATTAAGAACTAAGGGTATGCACACATTTGAAGAGGGGTCATTTCATTTTTTTTTCTTTGTTGCCATGTTCAGCTTTATGATTGTGACATTCTGTTATAACCTACAGTTGAATATGAATCCCATTAGAAATAAAAGAAATGTGTTTTGCCTCACTCATGTTTTCTTTAAAAATGGTACATTTCTCCAGTGGTATGCAAACTTTTGAGCACAACTGTATATAATTATGTAGCTTCTTTTAATTGTCCACCACTAGTACATTTTTATAGGTTGGACACTCTTTGCTGACATAAGATGTAATTTATTAAAGGGACACTCCAGGCACCATAACAACTGAAATTAAGTTGTTATGGTGCGAGTAAGTCTCTGGCTTCTCCTTACCTGAACGGGATAAACCAATAATGAACAGTTTAACTTAAAATCTTCAAGCTAGCACCTAATCACGAAAATTTTATATATATTAATTGTATATATTTTGCAGTAAACTGGCATTTTTGCGCAATTTGGGTCACAGATCAAGTAAGAAGAGGTAACCAATAGAATGAAAAGAAGCAGCAGTAAAATCTATATGTATTTTTTTTTTTTACACCACGGATAAAACTCCAAATTACAAAAATAAACGAAATAGCTCATTCATTGGTTTCAAGATTCAGTCATATTGAAATATGTTCTGATGGATTGCCAATTGAATAAAAATTGAATAATTTGAAACCCCATGCACAAGTCTTGCACATATTTTCCACGCCGTTTTGTTGGCGCTCCGCCTACTTTGACACCATCTGACTGCGAGGGAGGGCTGATGCACATGTGTGGAGAGCGTCAAAAGTGCATTAGGCCCTCCGCATAGGAAAGCATTGCTGCAATGCTTTCCTATAGGGTTTTAACGGTCCTCATGCAGAGTGTGAATATGTCCAGTGTCAGCTAGCGACCAAAAGTCACCTAGTGAGCAGGAAGTGCCTCTAGTGGCTGTCTTATTAATAGACACTAGAGGCAGTTTTAGTCCTGCAATGTAATTATTGCAGTTCCTCTGGAACATAGTGTCCCTTTAATAAGCTCTATAGTTTAATTTAATTTTTATTCATTCAGCACTTGAGTCATAGATCCCATGTTAAAATGAACATTTCTAGTTCCTGTGTTTGCATATCCATCATGACTGTGCTTGCGTATTAGATCATGACACGTGACTCACGTAGAAAGATATGCATCATTCTAGTCTCAGCAGGAATATATAAAAAGTTATGTTTATAATTAGTTTAATTGCTTAACTACAGAATGACTTTCCCCCAAAAAATTTAATTTACATTTATTTGAATCTTATAACATATTCTAAAATATCAGCCTTGAAGGGTGAAAGCCATTTTTTGAAAAATAAAAAAATAAACAATAAAATGGAGAAATGTTCTCATTTTTGCATTAAAAAGCAAAACAAAAAAACGCTTGCAATTTTGGGAAGCAGACAAGCTAACGTTTCAGGAATTCTTGCACAGCCGGGCAGATCACAATGAGCTTAATAATTAAGTACCTCTCTTCATAAACATTATCACTGTATATATGACACATGAAAAACAGGCATTTAAATTACTCGGGAGATTTCAGGCTTTAGGTTTCAGTAAAGTGCAGGACGGTGAGATCCTAGTCTCTCAGCACCTTGCTGAGTGAACACCGGTGCTCTGCTAAATTGAAGGTAAGTGTCTTTTCATAAACAAAAGAAAACTATTGAAAAATGCTTTGCATTGCAAATAAAAAAAAAAAAAATATAAAATTAGCCGAGTAGCTAGCTAAAGGATAGAATGGCTTTAGTCAACTTTTTAGTATAATTATTAGTTATTTTATTAAAATTATTTGCGTTAGTTGCAGCTCTCATGACTTTATGAAAGTAAATCATTTCTTAGTTTGTATTTCACACTTCAGTGAAAGACAGCCGCTCTCCAGTATCTGCTGCTCTCAGCTACTTTAATGTAAACATGCACTCAATAAATAGACAAGCCCATGAACTTATGCTTTGAAGAGACTGTATGAAATACTTTGTGAAATAAGACCTCTATTTGTTCAGGATTGTTAAAGGAACACTCACACCAAATAACTTCATCTCTATGAAGTTGTCATGGTGGAAAGAGCGCCTGGATGTCATCTTACCTGCAGGGGTTAAACCATTTTGGAAGAGAATGATAAGAGGGCACAATTTATACAAAAGGAAAGAGAACAACTAGAAAAAATATTAATATGACTAAAATAATGGTCACTAAATGACTCTTTTTCCTCTATAGTCTGTGAAAACATCTAATAAAGAATAGATAAAGAGCACGTCCCATAACAAGTAACAAAATTGTATTTGATGAATACACATCAGTACATAGATGTACACAAATATATACAGGGCCAGATTAAGAGCCCAGTGGCCTGGTGCTGACAATTATGAGGGTCCTTAAGTACAGAATCTTATAGACCGAAAACACTAAAACAGTCTGTAGCGTTCACCCCGGTGAGTAGAGGGGTTTACACCGCCAGAGATGTCCTTTCCCCAAGTGTGAGTTGTGTTACAGACTTCCAAGTAGTCATCCAAGTAGAAAAGCAGGTATAGCTTCCATAGCAGTTCCCTACCACAAGAGACAAGACTCTGTGTTGAGGGTAAGTAGAACTGATTTTAATGGAGCCACAGCTGGCCTTTTATGCACGTCCTCATGCAAGGGGTTTCTGGTGACATATTCCATGGGCATTCCCCACTGGACCTGAGAGGGGACACACATAATTACATTACCTCTCAGGTCCAGGACATGCATAATAAAAATACCCCAAAATATACATTTAGCAAGTAGGTACCCCTTCAAGTTCTATATCCCCATGTAGCCCGGGTCTGAGCGCCCAACATATGTCGAAATCACTCAGATCCCATGAATGTAGTCGAAACGCCACCTGGGTATAGATTAGACCGACCGCACACGAGGCGCTTGCCCAAAAATAGTTCCATGAAAACAGGCCGTGAGGTCGGTCTCTTTCGGGAGTACCAAAATACAATTTATAGGGCAAATAGTGATTCGTGCATCCATTCCCATAGTCCTTGTGGTTCGGGAGATGTTTCTACCGAACGCCGTTCCTTTCTTGTGGATAAAACCAAACATCTGTGGACATGGAAGTCTTAGCGATTCTAGTTCCATACACTCAACGACCAAACACCGCTGGCTGCATTCGTATTCCAAGATGGCCGCTGCCACGTGTTTGTACATACGAACGACGACCACCCAGCCGACCGCTTAGAAGGTTGAGGTATTTCTAGTTATGGAGGTATTAAGAGGGGTATAAAGTAAACAAGTGCCACACTCCGCATCTGGGTGGTCGGTCGTTCTATTGTTAGTCGAACGGGGCAATGTTGATATAGGGACTAGACGTATTTGGCCGAACAGATAGGTGAAGGGAATAAAATAAACTTTAAAATCCAGGGACAGAGGGTCATACTTCTCAAGTGTTATGTATCTGGTAGAGATGTTGCCGGAGGGAAACTCATAGGATACAGCTATAAGAAAACTCAGATTCTCTTAAAATATGCTAATCTCTCTCTAATTCATGCTTTCATCTTTCAAGTAAATTCTTAGCCCCTAACAGCAGTGTCCAGTGCACCAAGAAGTCATGGCCGGTGTAAAAGGGTGGGCCACTGATGCAGATTATGTAAACAGAACGTCCGAAAGGGACGAACATGCCCAAAAAGGAGGCGTGTCAGCCCAAAGAATTGTAAGGCTAGCCTGACATGAATGCATGTCAGGCTGCCTGCCAATCATGCATGCTGGTTAACAGCATCCTAAGCTTGGCATAAATGCGTCTAATGATGCGCTCGCTCCATGCTTTCTAAGGACTGTCCCCTAGCACTCACATGTCCACTTCTCTCCTTACCTTCTTACTAGCAGGCAGAAGCTCCTGGTATACGGTCTGAGACAGAGAAAAGGTGGTGTAGGAGAAAGGGAACATGCCACAGAGAGACCAAAGTCAGCAATTACCTTAACTAATTTCATTGTCAGCCAGTCCACACAAGTTTTGTTTCCATATATCCCTCTTAAAGGGACGCTATAGTCACCAGAACAACGACAGCTTATTGGATTTGTTCTGGTGAGTAGAATCATTACCTTCAGGCTTTTTGCTGTAAACACTGTCTTTTCAGAGAAAATGCAGTGTTTACATTACAGCCTAGTGATAACTTCACTGGCCACTCCTCAGATGGCTGTTAGAGATCCTTCCTGGGTCATGGCTGCTTAAAATGCATCCAAACATTCAGTATCTCCTCCCTCTGCATGCAGACACTAAACTTTCCTTTATTTATTTAATTCATCTCTATGAGGAGATGCTGATTGGCCAGGCCTGTGTTTGAATCATGCTGGCTCTGCCCTGATCTGCCTCCTTGTCAGTCTCAGCCAATCCTGTGGGGAAGCATTGTGATTGGATCAAGCCACCACTTTGTTTTTTGAGGCAAACAGCATGCAGATTTACAGCTTCAGGCTTGAATACAGTAAGATTGTGCTATATTTATGGAGACATGAGGGGCCCAGATGGTGGTTTTAACACTATAGGGTCAGGAATACATGTTTGTGTTCCTGGCCCTATAGTGATCCTTTAAGTTTCCATACTTAAGCAAGAGTATGTGAAGAGTAGTTAGATTTGCCACCTTTCTTGGAAAAAAAATACAGGCCTTACTCATTTGCATAATGTATTATGTATGCGTGACATCACATGATGTAAATCACAAGGAGTGACATAAGAGAAAATTCTGTAAAATCACCAAAAAGCTACTTACATTCTAATGCATGGATTGATTGCTCCCAGTGTCCCCATGTCTCCCAGTGTCTGTGTCCCCATGTCACTAGGGGACACTGTGAAACATGGGGACACTGGGAGACTTGGTGACACTGAGACTATGTATCACAGTGTCTCAGTACCCCATGTCTTCCAGTGTCCCCATGTCACCCAGTGTCCCCTCATGTCTTCCAGTGTCCCCATGTCTCTATGTCCCCATATTGCCCAGTGTCCCCATGTCGCCCAGTGTCCCCTAATGTCTGTGTTCCCATGTCTCCCAGTGTCCCCATGTCACTAGGGGACACAGAGACATATCCCCATGTCTCCCGGCGTCCCCTCGTGTCTCAGTGTTCCCAGGTTTTTAGTGTTCCCATGCCTCAGTGTCCCCAAGTCTCAGTGTGCCCATGTGTGTCTGTGTCCCCATGTCTCCAAGTTTCCCCAGGTGTCTCAGCGTCCCCAGAGGTCTCCCTGTGTCTCCTAGTGTCTCAGTGTGTCTGTGTCCCCATGTCTCCAAGTGTCCCCAGGTGTCTCAGCGTCCCCAGAGGTCTCCCTGTTTTCCCTAGTGTCTCATTGTCCCCATGTCTCCTTGCAGCCTTTACCCCATCCCTAAATTCCCTGAACTGTAGGTTGTCTCTGCAAGCTGGAAGCTGCTGTCTGGACTCTCTGTGCTGTGTAGCTGCTCTATCGCGGATCAGTGAGGAGAGAGATGCAGCTATATGCTGTAACTTCCTATCCCTGCCTCTCTCCATACACACAGCGACCCCTACTGGCCGGTGCTGGAATTGCAGAGTAATCTCTGTTTATTTGGGGAAAATATCAGCATTTGTATTGCAGGTATTACTGCAATATAGGCACCGGCCAGGCAGCCTTAAATAAATACCGGCCAGGTGGCAACCTTAACAGTAGTGTGTAAAAAGATAAAAAAAAGTTTAAAAAAAATAAATTAATAAAATCAAGGGGCCTATTATATGGGCCTGGAGGTACAGCTCCATCAGCCCCTATGTTAAACCGGCCCTGAATATATATATATATAAAACCCATGTATCAATAAAAACCCTATACAATGATAAAAACAGCCCTATATGTACAATAATCCAAACAAATCATAGCATAGTAATCCTGGCCTGCCATGTGCGAGCTGTGCGGTCGCACAGGGCCCCATGAGAGCAGGGGGCGCCAGGCAGCCGACACAGCTCACACATGGCCGGCTGGGATTATAAAAAAAAAACAAAAAAACAATATTGTGGTGGGGGCGGAGCTTAGCGGGCGGGGCTAAATGAGCCGGGTAACTGCAGCATGGGAAGCAGGAAGGAGTCCCTGCTTCCCCAACAACCAGTCTCGAGGAGCTCCAAGAGATGTGGAGGTAAGAAGCAGGTCAGTGTGTGTGTGTGAGTGTCTGCCTGTGTGTGTGTGTGACCTTCTGCCTGTGTGTGTGTATGACTGTCTGCCTGTGTGTGTGACTGCCTGTGCGTGTGTGTCTGTCTTTGTGACTGTCTGCCTGTGTGTGGCTGTCTGCCTCTGTGTGTGTGTGGATATCTTTGTGTGTGTGCATCTGCTAGTGAGTGAGCTTCTGTGTGTGTGTGTGTGTGTGTGTGTGTGTGCACCTGCCTGCAGTGGTTGCATGGAATAGCCTTCCAGCTGAAGTGGTAGAGGTTAACACAGTAAAGGAGTTTAAGCATGCGTGGGATATGCATAAGGCTATCCTAACTATAAGATAAGGCCAGGGACTTATGAAAGTATTTTAAAAATTGGGCAGACTAGATGGGCCGAATGGTTCTTATCTGCCGTCACATTCTATGTTTCTATGCTAGTGAGGGAGCTTCTGTGTGTGTGCGCCTGCTAGTGAGTTTGTGTGTGTGCCTGCTAGTGAGTGAGCTTGTATGTGTGTCAGTGAGTGTGTCTGTAGGGATCATGGGTGTGTCTCAGCCTGTGTGATTGTGAGCTTGTCTGTAGTAAGCATGTGTGTAATTGTGAGCTTGTCTGTAGTGACCATATGTGTGTCAGTGAGCTTGTCTGTAGTGAGCATGTGTGTGTCAGTGAGCTTGTCTGTAGTGAATCTGTATGTGTGTGTTAGTAAGCTCTTCTGTACGGAGAATGTGTGTCAATGGGCTTGTCTGTAGGGACAGTGTGTGCGCATAAGTGAGCTTGTCTGTAGTGAGCATGTGTGTGTGACAGTGAGCTTGTCTGTAGTAAGCCTGTGTATGAGAGTTTGTCTGTACTTAATTTGTGTGTGTAGAAGTAACCTTGTCTGTGTGTGTCATTGAGATTGTCAATTAGCCTATTTGTGCGCATCAGTAAGATTGTCTGTGTCTGCATGTGAGTATGCTTTACTGTATAATTTAATTACCCTGAAAGGACTAATTGAATTACAAAAAGAAATATACCAATAATATTTATATAGATATGTGTGTGTGTGTATATATATATATATATATATAACAAAAATAGAAATTGATGAGAGGTGCACTCAGGTCTTGATTCAAAGGTTCGTTTATTTACTGGTGCAAATTACTCTCTCTCTCTCTATATATATACACATAGCACAATGACTTATGGGGTTGGCAGATTTTTTTCCAGGGCTGCTTTGTATCCCCAGTCCGGCCATCCCCTCTAGCATGTAAGCTCGTTGAGCAGGGCCCTCAAGCCCTCTGTTTCTGTGTATCAAACTTGTCTGGTTACAATTACATGTTTGTTAGTCCACCCATTGTAAAGCGCTAAGGAATTTGTTGGCGCTATATAAATATAATAATAATAATAAGATGTTGCCCTCGGCCTATCAGCGCTGACTGAAGCTTTGTACATGGAATGAAAGTGATGGGACAGAGCGATCAGGCAATAGATTGATGGCTGTGGGGTTAACTGTTTATTAAAGGTTCAGGTAAGCTGTTACCTGACCACCTAACACCATAACAACTTCATTCCTCTTAACAAGTTATGATGCCAGAAGTGGTCCTTTAAGGAAGAAGGTACCCAGGGACTCCAGTCCTCAAAACAACTTCACTGAGATGAAGTTGTTTTGCGGGAAGAGATGTCCTTTAAGTTCACGTCCAGAAATAAAGTTTAACCAACAACGAAATATGGAAATTGTCCGCTTAACTTTGACATATCCCTCTGCGTGTAAACCCACCAATCTGCCTTTAGCTTAATTTGTAATGGACTGGTGTAAACCGTGCCAAATAGTTTCATATTCAATAGATATTAAAAATGACAGACCGCAGAATCCTCTCGAGCCACTTTCAGAAACGCTCTGTTTTATGTCATTACATTGATTACATGCTATCTTTATAAAATATGATTAGTGGTTGGTTACTCTGTAACAGCACCTATTAAATACCAGCTAAAAGTAAATTAAATTGTATTACCTGCACCACATGTCACAGGTAACTAGACACCCCCCCTCCCCTGTTCATGTCAGGCTATCAAACAAAAACCTGAACAGCTGGTATAACCTGTCTGCAGGTAAAGCCTCCTGAAACAGGGCTGCTGATATATGACGTCACAACAGCCCCCCCCCCCAGTCAATACTGCACAATGAGGGTGAATAATGCTGATTTAGGAATGTGAGTCTCTCCCGGCTGGGGTGTTTCTGCATTGACCATCCACTGCCTCCTCCTCCTCCTCCTCAGTCAGTGACTGGCCCGGCTTATCCATTGACCTGCCTGGTATCTGCCACGTTTCAGTGATGACGTCAGCGAAAACCAGCGACAATCCGCCAGGGGGAGCCCGAGCTACCTCCAGGAACCAGGACAAGGAGCGGGGCGTGGCCGGGCTTCCAGGAGAGGGGGGGGGAGTGGAGGGAGGGGCAGGGCCTGACGCGATGCTGCAGCGCATGCGTAGCCAGCCCGCGGCACCCTGTGACTTGTAGTTTCCCTACTACCCTCCTTAACACGTTCCTCAACGCTCTGCGCGGGCGCCGGCGGACTACATCCCCCGACGTGCCCCGCGCGGCCGGCCTCCAGACGGCAGTGCTAAGCTGTTCCTGAGTTGGAGGATTCAGTTATTTCCTGGTTTCGGCCGGCAGCCATTTTGGGGTTACAGAGAGCTGGTCCAGCGCTGACTGTGTTGTTTTTTTGTTGGGGGGGATTAATCCCGGGTGTCTGGGGGATTTCGCTGCTCACCCGCTGTGTTTTCCAGTGACTCCTTAGCGGCTGTTTCCCCGGGTGATTTGGAAGCTGTTTACCCCCTCCCCCCCGCTCTCTGTGACCCGTTTTTGCTCGCTTGGCGTCGGGTCTCCCCGTGTTTTTTTTGTTGTGTGTGTTTCTGCAGAAGCCGGCCGTGAGCTCAGTGACATGTCCAGCATGAACCCCGAGTAGTAAGTATCTGCCAGGCCCCCGCTCGGCCCCCATGGCCAGGCCTCTGTGGGTGAGACGGTGACATATTGGGGGGGGGGAGGACTGGGGCCCCCTCTGATAATTAACACCTATAGGCCTTGATGTAGGATCCACCTGATGGCTTTACACCTATTATCATGGGTTTAGGGAGATTCACATGTAATGCTGTCCAGAATGTCAAAAAAGGGGTGACCTTTAAAATAATATATATTAATGTTTAATTACCATTTTTTTTATTCTTACAGGGTTTTTTTAATGCAATATATCCAGTATTATTTATTATGGTATCTGTCCCCTGTTTAAATTAAACCTTATACTGAAGGGTAGGGTGTCATAGTCTACTTTGGCATTTGAGATTCGATTACTAATTATTAGAAAGCACCTATACCTTCTCTACCACAGTGCATTAGATCTTTAAAAAAAAAAAAAAAAAGTCAGGATAATTACTAAAGCTTTGTCCTCCTTTTTTTTTTTTTTGTCACACATGGAAGGGATGATGTGTACCATGTGATGGCTAACCTTTGGCACTCCAGCTGTTAAGCCCTACATTTCCTATAATACTTAAAACAGGCAAACTGCGGTGGAAATGACTGGCTGAACATCAGTGGAAAAGCTGGCCACATCACCTATGGGTGATTATTAGTGGCATTTATTTAGGGCCAACTTATTCTGCAGCGCTTTACAGTATTTGGGAGTCCTTAGTGGTTGCTTTTCCTCAATGATGTAGGCCATAAGGTGAGGTTAGTGATGTATCGATGCATGATAGTTGTGAATAGTTCAATTTAAGGGTGGATAGGGGTATTTTGTGGTCCACTAAAGTCAACAGTTGTCAATTATAGAAACATATAAAGTTTTTGTATTTAGTAGATAAGACAAGTGTTTGTGGGATTTGAACTAGGCCGATAAAATTATGGAGATAATATTGAATCTATGCATTTGTTTGTAAATAATTTTAAATTATTGTAACCTTGTTAGTATATATGTGTATATGACACGTATTCACAAAAAATGAACATTAGACTTTATATTTTTAGTTCACTCGTGCTTCAGGGGTAATGACAAAGAGCAGTGATGCCTAACTTTGACGCAACCAAAGTTTCTCATATTTGCCATTTTTCTCAGTCAGACCTTGGGTTGGCTGAGCGTCGTAGGAAATTCTGTACACTGGTATGGACTCGTTATCAAATTCTAGCCTAACGTGAATGGAAAGCTATTTATTTTGTAGTCTTATGCTAACCTCACATTGCATAAATACACCATTTAGGTTTGGTAAGATTTATCCACGTCAACTGGTAGACGTTTTGGAAATGGAGTTATAACTACTAGTGATCTTTAAAATATTACCCTTGGCTGCCCAGAGATTCCAGTCAGCAAAACAATATCTGGATTGGGAAATGTAGGATTTTAGTTGTGATTATTAGTAGATAAGATCTTGCATGTGTCATCTAGGGAGGATTTCTATGCCTGAGTTGTCACTGTGGACTATGCACCATCCAACACCAATGTAACTATTGATTACAGACCGAATAGAATACTAATGAACCACTGTGATGAGTTGTAAGGAAACAGAAAGGGATTTTCATGTGGTTTCTTAAATCATACAGTGCAAAGAATAGACACCATTTCAATACTAGGTGCAGGAGTAACACCTTTCATTACAAAGTATCACAATATTGTTCTGAAATCTAAAATACTCAGCCACTCCAATTTTGTGAGTATCTTGTTTTTATTCAACTAGTAAAGATTGACCCTGCAACATTGACACTTTTGTTTCTTTGTCAAGTGTGAGAAATACACTTGTTTTAACATTTTCCCAGATCAATTTGTAATGGCTGAAAATAAAAACTCTCACATTTACTGAGTTGCAGGGCCATAATATTTCTGCTTTCTTCAGTCTCTCAAATTAGGCCTGAATGCCCTTGAAATAATAATTTAGGCAAGAGTTGATTCAGCACTGAGATCTTTATCACATTTTGTATATGTGATGGCAAAAGAGATTCATTGTAGGTTGGTGCTGCTTAATATCTTGGAAAAGAACATTGAGGATCTGTGAATGAATTCTTAGCCGGCCTTCATTTTAGCAGCAAGTCATGTGTATGTCACATGGTTCTTGCAAAACAGATATTACTGCAGATTTTGCAATCTCCTGGCAAGTGCTCCTGTTAACACTTCCTGTATCAAAGTACTTCAGTGTTAGGCCCCACAAAGGGTACATGTTCCATATTTATTTCAATGTTTTAAGAAATCTTGATTTGTATGACCACTTACATGTACTATTTGTTTTAAATTAAAAAAACCAAACAAACCAGTAAATCAGCTGTTTTAATTACCAGAGATCAGGGGTTAGATCAGTTCACTGTTCTCACATAGCCTGTTTTTCTAGAGTCAGGAGATTGATGCTCCTCTCTTTGATTGGCTTAACGGTCATTCATACAATCTGTTGTGTTCACGTTGGGGAGCTATCACTAAATAGTGGTGTTGACTTAATGAATTTAGGCTAAAATAAGTCTCAAATGAAGATCAGTCGTAAATTTTGTTGATTCTGTATTTTTCCCAGCTTGGCTATGTTTGCCTTTATTCTGCACATTGGTAATGAAGTACACAAAGCATCCTGAGAAAAATTATGAAAAATTTGTTTAAAGGAACTGTTGTTCAGATTTTTGCTATTTTTTTTTATATATATATATATATATATATATAAATCTCCAAGCTTACCTTTTATCCCAGCACTTAGACAGATAGCCCAGTCCTGATGATTTTTGTCCAATCAGAGTATTCCCATAGAGAAGCATAGTAATTATTCTTAGAAGCATTGGACACAGTTTCTGGCATTCAGCATACATTACATGTTGATGACGAAGATAAAATATGTTCGGTATTGGATTCTATTTGTGTTGGAAGCTCGTAGTTACTGTCTGTTTGATAACCATTATTAGATGTAGGAATAGCAAAATGTACTTGGGACTCCTTTTATTTGCAATCCTGTCGCAAATGCATCTTTCATTATCTAAGGCGAAGTGATTTTGGTGTGCAGTGTCCCTTTAATAGAACCCCAATTTGTTCTGGTGAGTAGAATCATTACCTTCAGGCTTTTTGCTGTAAACACTCTTTTCAGAGAAAATGCAGTGTTTACATTATAGCCTAGTGATAACTCCTCTGGCCACTCCTCGGATGGCTGTTAGAGATCTTTCCTGGGTCATGGCTGCCTAAAATGCATCCAAACATTCAGTATCTCCTCCCTCTGCATGCAGACACTGAACATTCCTCTGATTGGCCAGGGCTGTGTTTGAATCATGCTGGTTCTGCCTCTTTGTCAGTCTCAGCCAATCCTATGGGGAAGCATTGTGATTGGATCAGGCTACCACTTCTGATGATGTCAGCAGACTGCCTGTTTTTCTGAGTCTAACAGCATGCAGAGTTACAGCTTCATGCTTGAATACAGTAAGATTTTTACTATATTTATGGAGGCAGGGGGGTTAGATGGAGGTTTTAACACTATAGGGTCAGGAATACATGTTTGTGTTCCTGACCCTATAGTGATCCTTTAAACTTTTCTATTCAATCTTAATGTAATGCCAAACAAAATGAAATATGCAGATGTGTTATGTGCTGAAAAATAGTGAAAAGTACTAAAAATGAGCAATCACTATGGAAACCAGTGGAATCAGCTAGCACTTTCTATTGATGACTCCTGTCCTTTTACATCTTTTAATAAAATCCCCGCAAAAAGACAGACATCTAATGAGGTACAGCATATGCATGGTTTTTTTGAAGCACTAAATTATTGAATTGAGTGGTGTTTCAGTATTCTTGGAAAACTGGTTACCATAGTACTTAGATCTTTTGTATAGATCACCACTATCTCAACCTGATAGTGTCTTGTGCACCTGTTTGCTGGCATATTGCTTAGAAATTATTTAAATTGTGGTTTTGTTCTTTTTTACAAAGTAATTTGAGTGCTCACCATGGCTAAATTTACTGATGTGTGTTATGCACGTGGAACATCCTTCGTGTGAAAAAGTATGCTTTAGTTAGAACAGGTACCAGCCCATTCCTTTACAGGCATTTCTCCAGGATGCAGTCATTCATTATTGCAGCACTGGGAACATCCTTCAACAGGAAGTTTAACTGGTGCGACTCAGCAGTCATGCTTTGCTTTTTACCAGGGCTTGACCTAAGCTAGCTTTGTTTGCATCTGTTCGTTTAATAAAATAAATTAAAAATATATATATTTGTGTGTATCTATATATTACACACGCACCCACCTGTTTTCTTATTAAATATTTAACACTTTTACATGAGCCACCGATCATTTGCAAAGGGACAAACAGTCCAACCTTCACAAACATCTAAGCCCAACCCAAGCAAATTCACTTTGCTTATCAGAAAATTGGCACTTTATATATCATGAATGCTGTGGGCAGGAATCACATTTTAATTATCTGTGATCTATTTATTTTGGAAAGTTCATGTAAACCTGGCCTGTTCCTCTCTGATATGTATTACATTGGATATCCATTGCGTTTTGGTTTTCATCTCTCGATAATATTTAATGCCAAAAAAAGGCTAGTGAATACAAGGCATAAGGTAGAAATGGGAAAGTGTTGTTTAAAACATATTACAGTATATACTCGAGTATAAGTCTAGTTTTTCAGCACATTTTTTGTGCTTAAAAACCCCCACTCGACTTATACTCGAGTCACTGTCTGTATTATGGCAACTTAGAGAGCCGCGGCCGTCAGAGCCATGGCAACGATCCGCGCGGCAACCAGACCGCGAGACTTACAGTGGAGCTGACCGGAACGGAGGAGAAGGGAGCTGACAGGAGCTGCAGGAAAGGTAAGTAAATGCTTCCTGCCGGCCCCCCCACTTCACAGCCCATGCCAGTGGACCACCAGGGATTAAGATAGCCCCCTCCCTGACCAGTTAACAAGCAGGGAGGGGGGACAAAAAAAATTAAAATAAAAAAATATTAAAATAAAAAAAATGTAAATAAAAATGCCCTCCCCCCACCCAGTTCACACACTCTGCATTATATACACACTCTGCATTATATACACAGAGTGTGTGTGTATAATGCAGAGTGTGTGTTTGTATGAGTGTGTGTTTGTATGAGTGTGTGTTTGTATGAGTGTGTGTTTGTATGAGTGTGTGTTTGTATGAGTGTGTGTGTGTATGAGTGTGTGTGTGTGTATAATGCAGAGTGTGTGTTTGCATGAGTGTGTGTGTGTGTGTGTGTGTGTGTGTATATATATATATATAATGCAGAGTGTGTGTTTGTATAAGTGTGTGTGTGTATATAATGCAGAGTGTGTGTTTGTATGAGTGTGTGTATATAATGCAGAGTGTGTGTTTGTATGAGTGTGTGTGTGTATATAATTGTAAAAATCACAGAATTTCATAGCCCCAAGTTTTACCCTCGACTTATCCACGAGGCATAGCATATTTCACAATTGTTGGTCACAAAACTGCACTCGACTTATACATGAGATCGACTTATACACGAGTATATACGGTACCTCCAAAACTATTAGATTTTGAACACAATGCAAAGGATGTGTTTCATTGTCAGTGGCGAAAGGTTAGCTATAAACCTTTAAACCTCACTAGGTGCATAGATGATTACCCGTTTCACAGACTTTACATACCCTCCTAACTACAGCAGTTTGCACTGTGTTTTTTGTTTTGTTTTTTTCCCCGTTTTTTTTCTCTGGGTGACTAATGGTTAAACTGTAGCTGCTAGCCTACTAACAAGCTCATTGTTAAAGCTGTGGCAGAAGGTGCATAGTGGTAAGTGATCTTGCTTTGAATAATTTCAAATAGAAATGCAATGGGGCAGGTTGGCCTGTTGCCTAGCAGTTCTCACTGCTTCACGTTGTTACGGCTTTCAATATAGGACTAAAAAAAAAATGCAGTGTCTCATGTTATTAAAAGGAGTGGAAGCTTGATTACTTAGTGACATGCCCTACATAATCCTAGTTAAATTGTGTTGTTTACTAATATTCAGTGACTTTACCAGCAATATCCAATGGCAACAATTAGCTCTTTCCAGCCAATACTGTCCTTATTCCTGAAGTAACATGTAAAATTTCCTGTAAAAAGTTATTCAGTGAACATGTACTAATTCAGCTACGTGAGGTCATAAAGCGGACTAATTGTGTGTTTTTTGTTTTTTCTTATATATATATAATATGTGTGCATAATATATAAATGTGTGCATGTGAGAGAACCTTCAGTATATGTTTCAAGTAGATGTATATATTTATCTAAAAAAAAAAAATCATCAGACAACCACTAGCGGTGCTTTCTGGCGTTTCACTGAGTTTGACTCCGTAAAACGGCGCTGGACATAAGGACATCCAGCGTCAGAGAAAACCATAGGAGAGCTTGAGCATGTGTTAGTTCTGCACCATCGGCTGACATTGGAGGGGGCGGAGCTCAACGCTGATTAAAATTCGGCGCTGGAATCGGGTAAGTGTATAAAGGGATGTTTAACCCTTTACATTGCCTGTGGGGGCTGAGAAACACATTGGTGTTGGGTATACATCGTTGTATTTCTAACACTAAGGTGTTCCTTAAGTTTATTTTTTTAATGGTTCTCTCCGCATATCCCACCTTAAACCAATATCAAAAAACACAAATTGACTGTGATGTGCATGTTTCACAGTTCTTTTCTGTAACACTTGTAGGCAAGCTTCATGGATGATTTGAGTAGTTTAAAATTTGGTTGGTTGGTTAATAATTTGGCCAAATCAGTAGAATATTTGAATTTGTGGTGGCAATAAAATCTGTACATTATAATTAAAACAACCTTGCAGATGTGCTCTAATTGAAGAGGCTTTGCAGGTGTGTAGTAGATATGATAAACCTTCCGACTCAGTCGTACTTTGAGCACTATAGGTTTAAACTGGGCCAGCACCATTTGTCTGCTTTTGCTCTTTTGTACATGAAGCAAATTGACACATTTGTTAAGCACAATCATGAGTTGGACAGCAAGCAACGTTAAAAGAACTGTTAATTCTCTAATTACAGTTTCTCTTCCCTTCATCCCAGCAAATGTTGTGGAAGCACTTACTGCAGTAAGTAGTACTGCAGAGTGCATGCTTATTTCCACTTGAGTCAGCGAGTCATGTCTCCCAAAATTTTTACAGCTGGCTCCTGCATTATTAAAATAATTGTATTGATTACGTAAACCCTAGGGACCCCTTCTTCATCATCTGTAAAAGTTATGTTGTTAAATAACAATCCTCCTTTGCATCTGCAAAGGTACATGTAATACAGGGCTCGACAAATCCCAGGTAGCCATGGCGACTAGAAAATTTGTTCTGGCGCCTGGGATTTAAAGTCCTTTAACTGAAGGCAGGATGAAGGAACAATGAAGCCAGCCGGTCACCCTAAGGAGCATGGAGGAAGATCACTGCTCCCTCGCACACAGGAATAGCAGCTCCACTGGACCCCAGGGAAAGTCCACTCAGCTCTCCCAAAGGTAGGGAGGCTGGATGGATTAAAATGGAAAATGTCAATTTGTGTGTATGTATCTCTGTCAGTGTGTTTTTAGGTACCTGCACCCCTCTGATCACGAGAGAGTTGCTTTTACTCACCTTCTCTCCCATGTAGTGCCAGTTTTCCGTGGCATGTCCTGCCTTCCTGGCTGAGATAATCAATCTTTAAAATCTCAGCTAAATCAATGCTTACCTATAGGAAAGCATTGGGAGGATATTGCGCATGTTCTCTATGGGTTACATTCAGCACGTCCATGCAGAGCGTGGAGACGCTGAACAAAGGTGCTGCATACTGTGCAGCACTAACACAGGACTCTCTAGTGGCTGTCTGAGTGACTGTCACTAGAGGTTTTACTAGGTAGCAATGTAAACACTACCTTTTCTCTGAAAAGGCAGCATTTACATTGAAAAGGCTACAGGGACAGGCTATAGGCACCAGAACAACTACATTAAGCCGTATGACACTATAGTGTCCTTATAAGAATTGTATATTTTTCGTAAATTAAACTTGACTAGTTTAAAAAAAAAAAAAAAAACTGGCTCCTAGATTCCAAAAAAATTTGTCAAGTCCTGATGTAATATATACATGTATGTTCTTCTTAGTCTTTAGTATTATGTAGAACGTTTGACACTTTCCTTGGAGACTGACCCAGAAACAGGAAATACAATCTGTTATATTTTAGTCTCAGTTGGCTTTTGTTTAGGATTTTAAAAAGGCAAATACTGACTGTTGAGGTATATTCAGAGGTGTGGGCCTCTCTAGTGATTCTGATAATGCTGGAGCATCTCGGCATTTGTCATGTAGTTAGATTTTGTCAGGCTGAATTTTCTAAATTGTGCTTTTAACTCATGATACAGATATGTGTTGCAGAAGGGAAAAAACAAACTCAATGTATAATTAAGCTAGCTTTGCATGCAGTTTGTAGAGTTGGACTGGGCTCTTAATTAGTAGTTAAATAACTGCCTTTGTTTTACTTTTAAATTGTTGCTTGTTTGTTGAAATAGTGTGGGTGATTCCTAGATATATATGTAATATCTAGATCGCATAAATATAGCTGTGCTGTTTGAGTACTTATATTAATGCTGTGCACGTGTCAAGGTTTTTTTAATCGGTGACTTAGTGTGTGTGTGTGTGTATATTTTTTAAATATACCGCAAACCTTTCTAGTTGTTGTTGATACATATATATCTATATGCATGTGCAGAGAGTTGAATGAATTTGGTGTAGTTTTGCTCTGGTTCTGAAAGCTAAACAACTTGCAAATATCTTAATTAAAGGAACAGCCCAAGCTCCATAACTACTATAGTAGTCATGGTACCTGCACCCTCCACTGTAAGAATTCTAACCATTTTAGGAATGGTTTGACAACTTATGTGGGGTTCGACAGTCATCAACTCCTCTAGATCCCAAAACTCCTGTAACAATCTTTAGCTGGCTTGCATGAGCCGTCTTGGCTGAGAATATTGGCAGAGTGCTCTGTCTAAGCACTGCATACTAAGGCAAGATCACTGCAGGAGGAGGGGGCAGCCAGGACCCATCAAACCCCAGGTAAGTTGTCATTTTAATGCTTTGACTACTTACCTTGGGATAGCATGTGGACACAATAACAGTAGTGGGCTGTGGTGGTGATGCTTGTTGGAGTATCCCCATAAAAAAACAAAAGAAAAATGAAGCTGTTGTACCACCTAATATTAGACCGGACAGTTTTTGCATTAAAAAAAGCCCTACTGAGTTAATGTAGCTGTATGTCTTTTACTTGTGGCTTGCAGTCTTGTACATCTACAGAGCACTTGAAACCTGCCATTTTCACTGAAAGTTTTGAATCCTATTCACTTGTGTGAAAGGCAGATTTGTGTCTGCTCTGTACACTTACATGGCTATTGAAGCGCATTTGTCACGGTTTAGGGTCTTTGCATAATTTGCAAAGAACCCACATGGTGACATTACCTCTCTGGGGGGGGGTGGGGGGCAGGCAAAGGTGATATTTACTTACCTTGACTATGTCCCCTGCATGCACCGGCACCTTCTTCCTGTTGCTGTTCTTTAGGTCCTGGTGCTTCAGCCTCCATACCAAAGAGCTAATTTCACTACAGCTGTCACTGGGGGAAATGACCAGGCTTGGTGCAGCAGCTCTGCCTTGTGTCAAGCTTTGTCAGGCGAAGAAATAATACTGAAACAAAGTAGTCCCTACTGTCTTAGTATATCTTTTGTTTGGAATTTCAATGAAATTGCAACAGTCAATCTGAGAAGGTCATAAAGATTTTCTTTTCTGAAGTACTCATTTTGAAGGGTGGGCTGTGACAGTGCTGCTTTAACCCCTTACGGACCAAACTTCTGGAATAAAAGGGAATCATGACATGTCACACATGTCATGTGTCCTTAAGGGGTTAAATTAAAGGACCACTATAGTGCCAAGAAAACAAACTTGTTTTCTTGGCACTATAGTGTTAATAGGTTCCCCCCCCCACCCTCATGGCCCCTCTCCCACCAGGCTCTATGGGAAGGAAGGGGTTAATCACTTACCTTTCTCCAGCGCCGGGCTCTCTCGGCACTGGGGACACTCCTCCCTCTTCTGCCGAATGCTCATGCGCGGCAAGAGCCACGCGCGCAATCAGTCAGTCCATAGGAAAGCATTCTCAATGCTTTCCTATGGACGCTGGCATACTCTCACTGTGAGAAGCGCCTCTAGCGGCTGTCAACCCTAATGTAAACATAGAAGTTTCTCTGAAACTGCTATGTTTACAGCAGGCAGGGTTATCCCTAGATGGATTTGGCACCCAGGCCATTTCATTGAGCTGAAGTGGTCTGGGTGCCTATAGTGGACCTTTAACCTTCTAACTACTGCAATGATTGCTGTTCATCATAGTGGTTATGGTTAAAAGGATCTCCTGGAATGAAAAGCCTAACCAATCTGCAGTTGCTCAGCTATAATAGAGTAGGGAACGTCTGCTTTAGCCTGTCCGGCTTGGGCTTAGATAGCTTGGCTGTCATATGCCTATGCGGCACTTTTGAAGGAATGCTGGAGAACGAGTATGTTCTCCTGCAGCATTTCTCAGCATATGCCAAAGCCCTTAATCTTTGTATCTTGAGTTTAAGAATATAGTCCTGGTTGTTTGTCACTCCGTTTTTATCACGTAGTGCTAGCTATACCTATTCTAGCATTTCTAATGTCTCATAAAACTTCTATTTTGACTAAGCTGAAAAGAGTATTGCCATTAACAGGTCATTTCAGAGTTAGCTTATCAGCTGTTTAACACATCATGCAGAGGATTATTCTATCTATTGGACAAAAATGCTTACATTTGAATGTCCCTCTTTGCAAAGTCCAGACCCATGCCCTCTATCAGTATAGCGAAGAATGAAAACTTCTTGTCCAGGCCCTGGTCTGTCAGAACTTTTTATAGAAGAATTGGTGAACAACCAGTACCATGCAAAGTCATATTCACTAACTCTTCATAAAAAGCACTGAAAGATTGATTTGTAAGTAAAACTGAAAGCCAGTGTGTATGGAATAGGGTCAGATAAGCAGTTTTCATTTATTTCTGTTGGTAATTAAGAGACTGAGGATTAGGGCTTGATTGGTTTTCTTATTCTTTATGACGGAGCAACTTTGAGCATTCATATAAAACCAGATATGGTATAGTACCATGAACTTTATGTAACAAAGTTGTCCTGGTGTCTGGCGTGTTTCTTTTAGACCTGTGTAGAATTTATTCAAGAAATAAACACTTTGCATTTTCTTCCTGCTATGTTATAATGCCGCTCCTTATTTAGTTGTAGGTGCGTATTGATGGAGCTTTTTAATTTGGGGATCTTTAAGTGATCAAAAAGGCATCATTATGAATATAGACGAGTGATTTAAATTATTTACTGGTGGCAGACTGTCGAACAAGTCAGCTACACATCACCTGATGCTGTAAGGCTCGCCTTATGTTTAATATCCTGTGATCTACATAGAATTTGGCTGCTGTCCACCATTGTAAGTTATGCCCCATTGGTAGTGTGGTAGGAAAGAGGCTATTGGGTTAGGTGCGTTTCTTAACATTCTGTTTCAGGACAATGTAGCACTGTCCGCATATTCTGTAACTTAACTGTCTACAGTTCAGTGTGTGTGTGTATGTAAATATATAATATATATTGCTAAATACAAATACACACACCAGTCAAGCTATAAGACTTTATTTTCCCACAGAAATCTCACTTTAACAGTGCTCTCATTACTGCAAGGGATTCTGGGTAGGTGTATGCAAATGAGCTCAACAAAGAACCAGTTTTGCCTCACAATTCCACTTTACACATGGATTCCTTGGCGTATGTGTCTGCTGTATACCCTCAAGAAAGAAATCTGTTCCTGAGGAATAGGTTTACTTTAATTAAAGTCTGCCAGAAATGCATGACTTTTCATAATTGCATAGTAATTTAGGTTGGACATAAGACCCAAGCTCATCAAGTAAGTTAAATCTCCCATTTTGCGGCTAATGCAAGAGAGGCATAAACCCTTAAGGACACTCCAGGCACCAATACAACTGTAATGCATTTGTTATATTTTGGTCTTTGCCTCGTAATTCCACTTCATACATGGATTCCTTGGAGTATGTGTCTGCTGTACACAACAGCTTTGAAACACAACTCAGGAAGAGGAGCAAAGCCAGTCAACCACTCATGGACACCTGTTTCGTTTTTTTTTCTCATTTATCTTTTTTATTGATGCAAAACAAAGGATCAAACAGTTTGCAGCGCAGTTCAATTTCGACATGCCATTTCAATCACAGGCGCAGCTGTGGATACCATATTCCAAAGATTTGCCCCACATATTCCTCGTGCAAGTCTGGAGTCTTTTTATCATTAGGATGGTATGACCATGGACTTTCCGCACCGAGGAGCGTTTATATCATGTGCTATGACTTGTCCTACGTTCGTGTTATGTGTCGGTTCGGTGTGGGTAGGAACAGCTGCTTGTGTTACACATCTGTTACGCTAGCTGCATTGCAATAGTTTATAACTTTTAACTAGGGGATGGGGATGGGGTACAGAAGAAAAAGAAGGGGTATGGGGGTGCCCTGGACAATAGATATTGCATTTTGTAGTGATTTGTTGAATGTGACCCTAAGTGTGATCCTGTTGCCCCTGATCAGCCTTTTAACTCTCAGCCGGCCAGCTGCTCCATTCTCTGTCATATCTCTCACTACAGCCGTTTGCTCTGCTTGCCATTTTTTCATATTGGCTAATCATGTCCATTCTGTTATTGATATTGGTTGCGGCTGGTGTTTGATTGCTCTTCCAGCTGCCTGACAACATTATTTTTGCTACCGTGAGTATGTTAAGAATTACTTTTCTGTGTGGATGGGAGGCAATACCGGGTGCTATGTGGAGAATGTAGTGTTCTGGCTTCATGGGTAGGGTGAACCCTGTTTTATCTAGTATGAGGGAGTGAACTTTTTCCCAGTAGTCTGTTAATAGGGGGCAGGCCCAGAAAATATGGATTATGGTTCCCTCACTTGTGTTGCACCTCCAGCATTTCCTGGACGTGCCCAGGTACATGTGTGCTAGTCTTTGTGGTACCAGATACCACCGCATTAAAACCTTGCAGTATGCTTCCCAGATCGCAAGGCTTTGCGAAGCCCGTTTTGTGATTTTCAGTGCTGTCAGCCATTCTGCCCTGGGGATCTGGAGTCCCAGGTCCCCTTCTCACTGTGTCATGTATGACAGCTTATCAGGTGTTGTCGCGGTGATCAGTGTTTTGTAGCATGCTGACAGTGGCTTTACGTGCCTGGTGGAGAGTACCTGTGTCGTTGTTGTTAGGCGAGGTGTGAAGGAATGACTGGTGAGTTTGCGGATGTGCGAGTGTACTATATTTTTTACTGAGGTATAGAAAGATATCCCTCGCTGGCAAGCGTAGATCTTTTTGCAGATCTGGAAATAGCTTAACCTTGTCTCCTTCTAAGATGTCCCGGACCTTATGTGCACCTCCCTCCCTCCATCAATCCATCTTCAGGTCAGGGGAGAATATTTCTAATGTTGTCAGGGGTGCTGATTGGAAGAGCGATTTGGGGTCTACTATGTGTGGGCTCCATTTATTCCAGGCCATCAGTAAGAACTTTGTGCTCTGCAGCTGTTTTCCCGTCGCCACTCGTGTTTGCCCCCCCGCCCATAGAAAGCTTGACAAATTGTGGGTGTTCAGACAGGCACTCTCCATTGCTAACCATATGGGGCGTCGGGGTGTGCGTGTGGGGCGCAATAGACGGAGTCCCTGTGCTAGAGCGGACGCCTTGTAGTAAGCCTTAATGTCTGGCATATTCAGTCCCCCATGGAGTTTAGATATTGTTTGAGTGGTTTGATGGTGTAGGATGAGGGAGTTGTCCCTATAGTACAAACAGTGCTTGTGAATCATCTGATTTACTCCGGGCCTCTTCCTGTAAGCTTCTCCCATCCTCACACATTGAAAAATTGAAGTGGAGTTCCATAGTTTTCAGCTTTTATACTTTGCCTTTAGAGCTGGTATGCTAGATGGGTGGGACAATGAATTCTCTATGTGAAGAATTTCCTTCTAGCATTCCTTACATTCTTTAGTCAAGATGTACCTGGGTAAAATAGAAAGTGTTTCTGATACTTATTACTGACAAATCTAAACTGTTGGAGGTATTAAACATCCTAGATATTTTATTAACTAAATTATGAAATTATATTGTAATAATCTTAAAATTACTTTAAAAGGAGAAACTTGCCCTTTAAAAATTGTCCATTCTTATTGCGGCAAATATAAATGTATAGCAATACAGCGATTCTTGGATCATGTATCTACAGCTTTTATATTGCTGCAGGTTTTGCGTTTCTTTCAGATGTGTCAAACTCCATAACTATTAGTTTATTGTTTTTGCATTTATTTTATTTAGCAGTATTCAGAAAGGCAGGAGCTCGCAAAGACTGAGCTATACATACAAACCATCAAAGACACAATGTGCTATAACAGTAATACATGGCATTAAAGCAGCTCTGTCATTCAATCATTCACGTGTCCACCAGCTTATGTATCCCTCTTGCAAGCCCCTCTGATCCGCTCCACAACATTTGGTGATCCCGACACCGGTGCGTCTTAAATTTGATTCCATTGTGCTGGTCTTGCTGGGTCTCCTTCCTCTGTGTCACCATCTCATAGTTTCCAATATGGCAGCCAAGGGCATGCATGTGATACCAGTACATAGTATCAGAACAGACCGTCAATGATTCACTGCTGCTTGGAAGGAGGTGAGTAACAAATTGACAGCGTATGACAGAACTTGACACCGGATGTATAGCTAAACTAAATCTCCACCCTTTTTCAAGCTGCAGGTTATATATAAGAAAAAATAGTCCTTACTTTACCTTATGTTGAACTTAAAACATTTAAAAAAGAATTTGGACATTAAAAAAGTGACCTCTGCTTTAGGATGCAGACAAATTAAGGCAGTTTACAGCTACACATCAGGATTTGCTTTCACAGTCTGTTAACTGAAGAAATAGTTAAGTTTGATACTTATTAGACATCATTTAATTGAAATGAAATTGCAATCCTTTTGTTTTATTGTAACACAAGTTACACATTTAATTAATTGGCCCCTTTTTGCTTTGCTTTTAGGGATCACAGATTATTGGATGGCACAGCTTTCAAATCCCCTCTAAATGATATTAAGACAACTAGCAGCCCCAGCACCTAAGTACACATTTCCTAAGAAATTTAGAGAACACGTAGATTGATATAATCTACATTAAAATCCTTTTGTGTGCATCAATCTTTGTCATAAAGAAAACAAAAAATTAAAAGTTACACATTTAATATACTCTCCATCTAAACTGTTTGGGTTTATTTAATCGTATTGTGGAAAACCTCCCTTAAGTTTCTCTTGCACAACTGTATATATCTCCAACACATTACAAATTCTTAAAATATTTCAAATTTTATTGATGACCAGCCAGCTGGAGGAAGCACTTTTCTTTTCGGCTCATCCTTAACCCCTTAAGGACCAAACTTCTGGAATAAAAGGGAATCATTACATGTCACACATGTCATGTGTCCTTAAGGGGTTAAGAATAATATGTATATGAAGATATCATCTCTCAGCATCTTTGTCCCATCTTGCTTCACATAATTTGAATTAAATGCTATTCTCCATGATTCTTGTGCAGCTACTTTGGCCTTACATTTGAAATTTCCTTTGAATTCCTGACCATTCTTTAGTAATCTGTAAAAACAGTAACAAGTTTATTTGGTTTTGGCATCTATTTCTTCAGGTAAAATATATACTGGAATAATCTATTATGTATTTCATAATGTTTTATCCACGCACTTTTAGAGTTACTCATACACCTACTCATTTGATTGCTTCCGGTGCAGCAGTAACTGCATCATCTTAATTCACGATAATAGAACTCCTCACTACTCTGATTCAGAGTAATTATTTCTAGTCATTGGTATCCTGCTGTGGACTTCTTTCAGCTGTCATTCTCAGATGGCAAGTTTCTTATTTTTAATCTAGAATGCATTATTTTCTCAACTAGAAAAGGCCAGTGTCACAGACATGGATATGCTTAATTTAAGTTTCCCCACTTTGGACAAAAATGTGTGATTTACTTGTTAGTCCTCTACAATTTGTGGTTTACTAAATAACCCTCCTTGATTTTGGAGTTCCTAAAATGCACTGCATGTTTGTTAATGGCAGAGAAGCAATGTATGCTTCTGAGTTGTGATGTTAGGTGGTAAATAGAAATCCTTAGAAGAACACTCCATTTAAGAGTGTTTTTTTTTTATTTTTTTATTTAGTATATTTATTCGCAAAGAAAACATGCATGTAGAGGAGGGTGGGCAGGGAAAGGCAATTCTGGGATTGGATACCTGTTGTCAGCATGCTGTGCGTGCAGCCGTCCAATATGCACATAAACGATATTAGCCAGTTTGGGACTTTTGTTCCACATTAACTAATGACACCCCAAAGAGGCTGCTAGAGGTGGCGATACACCTTTGGCATTAAAGGTGTTAAACTCTGCATGTGCAGTACTTCATAGCGAAACACCGCACATACAGACTCCAGGTACCATAACCACTTTAAATCACTGAAGTAGGTATGGAGCTTGCAGTAACGCTTTAAAAGAAAATCATATTAAAGGTTAACACAGTCTTATTTAGTTCTTATTTCCAGAGAATTGACAGTGCTCCTTAAAGGGACACTATAGGCACCCAGACCACTTCATCTTATTAAAGTGGTCTGGGTGCAGTGTTCCTGTCCTTTTAATTTCTTCATTGCAGATTTAAGGGAAATTGAAATGTTTATATTAAAGTGTTAAGATTGCCCCTAAAGGCTGTCTTCTAGACAACCACCAGTTTAATTCTGTGAAACGACACGTGACATCACGCGTTGCATGAGTATGTCCAGCGTCCTCTAAATCCACATGGGAGTGTATTGATTCAGTGCTTTCCTATGGGGAGTTTTTAACACTTAAATTGCTGTGGCGGGCGGCCTGGGAAGAGGAATTGATGTGCCCCTTTTGCAGGTACTACTTCTAAAAAGAAAAGTTGCCTGTTTACATGCCAGTTTTTGCCCTTTGGCTGTCAAGGAGATCAAATTACTTTATACTTGCAGATTGACTTGGCAACACAGGTTTTTCTACCTCCAGATTTCTATTCCATATATCTGAAGAATGTGAAGGACTAATAAAAATATTTTTATATTTTTGCGTAACAACTGTAAGTGGGTCATTAAAAGAGCATTCTAATTAAAATAAATAAAAATAAAATTGGGACATAATTATATATTATTGAATTTATTTATCTCAAGGCTAGATGCATGACGATTGCAAAATGTAAACAGCAGGGGCATTATCTAATACATCTAATACAAGTAATTTTAGGGCTTTGTCACAGGCTTTGTCAAAATGCAAAGGAAAAACATAAATCACTGTTTAGTCAATATACACACTTATGAAAACCTCTTAAAAAAACATTCCTTTGGGTGTATGTATGAAAGCAGCAGATCTCTTGTCTGCAGACTTTACAAGCCCTCCCATTCTAAGCCAGCCAAGGCTTTCTATGGCTGTCCAATCACAGACTTCCCAATGTGGCTCAATAAGAAGTCTTTGCAAGATTAGTGCTCTATTCAAGTGCCTGGCTTTTACATTTACTCCACTGAGCTAAACAAAGGGGTAGTAGGAACATGACCATTAGTCTGACAGCTAGGGAGTGTAACAAGGTTAACTTTGAAATTTTCACTTTTTTTAAAATGAAAGATGACACACTGTTTACATGTATTTCAGCAAGCTAAAGTTTGTGAGGAGTGTCCCTTTAAAGTGGACAGTTTTTTTTGTCCAGCACTTACATCCTCATGAAGTTGCTCATGAAATAAACAAGGGCTCAACAAATCCCAGGTCGCCATGCTGACTTGGGATTTTGCCCTGGTGCCTTTTTTTTTATTTTTTATAGCCCATTCAGCCACCAAGGTGCCAGCTGAGGGAGAACAGAGGCAGTTGGCTCCGGGAGAGCAGAGTCCGCAAGGTAGCGTCATCTTCCTACTCTGCTCCCTCACGCGTTCTCCAGTGATGCCGGGAGTCGGAATATGAAGTCCCTCTGGCCCTGGCATCACTAAACAGCGCTCTAGATAGCAGAGCAAGAAGATGACAGCAGCCCCACTAGAGCCCAAGGAAAGGATCCGCTCCAGCTCTCCCAAAGGTAACAAGACTGGGTAGATTTAAATAAAAGTAAAAAAAAAAAAAAAAAACGATTTGTGAAAGCTAGAGAAAAATGTTAGTGTTGCAGTATCAGTATGTGTCTCTGTCAGTGTGTCTATTAAGAGTAATCTGTGCCAACCCAGTGCTTTCCCATAGGAAAGCTGCTAAGCGTGGAGACACTGAACGTAGGTGCTGCACACTGTGTAGCACTAACCCAGGACGCACCTCTCGATGCAGTCTGTCACTATAGGTGTTACTAGGCAGCAATGTAAACAGGCAGTGTTTACAGTGAAAAGTGTGCAGGGACAGGCTATAGTCATCAGAACAACTAGCTTAAACGGGTGGTTCTGTTGACTATAGTGTCCCTTAGAGAATTGTATTTTTGACGTTGTAAAACCTCCTAGATTCCAAGCAAATTTGACAATTCCTGCAATAAACAATGGTTATTGCAGAATATGTATTTAAAAACAAACCCTGCCCTCCTTAGCTCTGTTCCTTTTGTCTCGCTTGCAAGATGAAGTGAGAGGCCCCAACAAGATATTTTTTTTTTTTTTATAAACGTCTGTGCAATTTATTTCACATTATAGTGAGTGAGGCCACTTGTGCAGCATGTTCACTCTGGAAGGGGAGGGGCAAGTGTTGTATTGATTTGTGCAAGCTATCAGTTTAGACTTTCAAATGTATGAGCTTCTGCTTCCAGCCCCACTAAATGTGACATGCAAGACCACTTTCTGGGTCAATGTGACAGTCAAGTATGCAAAGAAAATAGCCATGTGTGTACTACGAAATAGTCTTGTAAAGTGGCTATGGGCACTGTAATTGCTTCATGTTGTCTCAAGTCCCCTGGCACCAAATTTCTTTTTAGTGTTAAACCGTTTTAATGTTTAAATGCTAAACAAGGGTCCCCAGCAGTAGTTCTCCTCTGTATTGGTTAGGCTAATGAGAGAGATTTAGCCTCAGCAGTGAGGGTGGCGATTGGCTGAGATTATCTGATTGAAACTGCCCATTTCTGGTATGGATTGGTATTTGTAAAGGGAGACACTTGACCCCTAAAGCATGCCAGCTTGCTAAAGTGCTTTACGTGTGAAGAATGTTTTTTTTTTTTTTTTTTTCTTCATTTCCTTCATTCCCTCCCTCCTCAAGAGACAGAGATGCATTGTACAACTATATCACAATGAGGACCATTCAGCACATAATGGGACACTCCTCTAATGGCTGTTTGAGGTACAACTATTAGAGGTATCTTCAGACAGAAAATAGTGTTCATAAATCAGAGGGTGCAGGGACAGGCTCTCTAAATCAAAACCACCAAAATAAGCTTTAGTGGTTCTGGTACTTTGAGTGTTCCTTTAAAGCACTGCTTGTTACAAAAACTATCATAATGTTTCCTTTGTACTTGAGTCATAGGTCTCTGATAGTGTTTAGAGTAGACTTTGTTCTGTGCAGTGTCATAAAGCATAATGTTTTCACATATCCTCAAGCTATATTACACTGTGCATTCCTTTAATGACATCACTGAAATCAGATTTGTTTGGCCATGTTCATGATTTTAAAACGTGTGTAAAAATGTTTACAATATTTTCAATATAGCCAATTGTGTTTGACTGCATCTCAGTAGAATCCCAGCTAGATGAACACAGGCTTGCTATCAAAAGTAGTGTACAACACTGGGGATGTTTTATTTTATTTATTTAAAAAAAAAAAAACATTCACATGCAATGCTGTATATGCTCTTGTATTGTACACAGATGAGAATTACGTTCTATTCCATCGGTTATAAACTACTAAGTGAAGGCATAGTATACCGTACAGGAATATTGCCTAAGCAACTTAAATGGACACTCCAGGCGCCCAGACCACTTCTGCCCATTGGAGTGGTCTGGGTGCCAACTCCCACTACCCTTAACCCTGCAAGTGTAATTATTGCAGTTTTTTTATAAACTGCAATAATTACCTTGCAGGGTTAACTCCGCCTCTAGTGGCTGTCTGCTAGACAGCCACTAGAGGACACTTCCTGCTCTATAGCACAGAAAACCTGTGTGAGGACCTCCAGCGTCGCTCAATTCCCCATAGGAAAGCATTGAAAAGCATTTTCAATGCTTTCCTATGGGGAGCTCTAATGCACTTGCGCGGCATTGCCACGCATGCGCGTATGGTCTCCCCGGCCGGTGGGCGGGATCAGTCTTGCCCACCGGCCGACGTGATGACTGGGAGGAGGGACATCGGCGGGGTCTCAGGTAAGTGACCTGAAGGGGTTTTCACCCCTTCAGCTACCGGGGATTGGGAGGTGGGAGGTAGAGGGGACCTGCAGTGCCAGGAAAACGGATTGTTTTCCTGGCACTGGAGTTTCCCTTTAAGACTGTTATATTTGAAAGCTGCACTGTCACATTTTCTGATGTTTCTTAAAGATGAAAACACCATGAATCTTTCATTGACACTTCAGCACAATCGGTTACGTAAGACGAAGTAGGGAATGCCTTGTTTTATGGTAAAGTGTGATGTTGGCAGTGGTTGACAAAAGGTGGCGCTTTCATGTCAATTAATTTCCCACAACCTTCACTAGTGATAGCTGTTGAAGAGGCATATTCTTAAATATTGCTCAAGTTGCTCTTTGGAGCATATTGTGGGTTTGCCCATAGATGCCAAAAATATGAAGACTGCATCGCTTTACCTTCTAGTAATGTGTAAATGTTGCATTTCCAAGAAAATATATTGTATTTTAGAAGAGGTGTTAGTTTTTTTTTTTTTTTTTAAAGCAACATTTTACTGTGGGGTATTTAAAGCTTGATTCCTAAAACTATTGTCCCCACCACCCCTTGGCAGGTTTAGAGTGAACTCGCCTTATTTCGCCTCCTCTAACATCGTGAGGGGGAGCCGCGTGCGTGCATTCATTAGGCCGTCCCAATAGGAAAGAATTGAATTAATGCTTTTGATTTGCACAGCGGGAGGACGTCAGTGTAGTATCACGGAGTTAAACTCTGTGAAATAGCAGAAAGCAGAAGTAGTGGCTTTCCTGTAGACAGCTAAGAGAGACTGTATTTCCCCTGCAATATAAACATTGCCGTTTCTCTGAAACAGCAATATTTTAGTTTGAGGGTTAAGGGTACAGAGAGAGTGCACACAGACCACTTGAGATGGTGTGTTCTGGGTGCCTATAGGGACAACACTAAATGAAACATTTTTAGTATATTGTGCAGTAGTTTTGAATATAAAAAACCAAAACCCTCCTCTCCAGTATGCAAACTAGAACAGCAGAGGTTGAAAGTGACATTGCTGCTTATTCACCTGCTTGCTTTAGTTTGAGTATTTCACTTCATTAGATTTGACAGGTCTGTCCCACATTGCTTCTCCAGCTTTAATGCTACAATACATGTACTTTTTTGCTAGCATCTCTTAAGAGCTTGAATAAATGTTCAGTGTTTGCCTAATAATTCTACAGTTAAAGGGACACTATAGTCACCAGAACAACTACAGCTTATTGGATTTGTTCTGGTGAGAAGAATCATTGCCTTAAGGCCTTTTGCTGTGAACACCATCTTTTCAGAGAAAATGCAGTGTTTACATTACAGCCTAATGATAACTTCACTGGCCACTCCTCAGATGGCTGTTGGAGATCCTTCCTGGGTCATGGCTGCCTGAAATGCATCTAAACATTCAGTGTTTCCTTCCTCTGCATGCAGACACTGAACTTTCCTCATAGAGATGCATTGATTCAATTCATCTCTATGAGGAGATGCTGATTGACCAGGGCTGTGTTTGAATTGTGCTGGCTCTGCCCCTGATCTGCCTCTTTGTCAGTCTCAGCCAATCCAATGGGGAAGCATTGTGATTGGATAAGGCTACCACTTCGTAATTCTAGTCACGGGCTCCCAATTTACATTGTTCAAAACGTAATATACATGTTCATTATGTAAAGCTTCCTTCTAATTCTGAATGGTTTTTATTGGCACAGGACAAATTACTATACAAATTGTCAAGACTTATTTTTATTGCAGGAAGTGTTTCATTGCTTTTCTGATGCACCCTAGATGCTAGACTTTGCACTGTCTATAGTTTAGTGTTAAGTTGTACATACTGCTGTCAAAACGTGTCTTCTGTTTTTACATTTCTGGCATTTGCAAAGCACTGACCTAGATGTGTTTCTTTCCAAAGCATAAACTTGAAAAGTGGCGTTCAACATTTTTTTGTTTTTGTTCCACCATCAATTATGCTGTAAGGCAGTAACCAGCTGAACCTGGATATTTTTAGATTTGCTTTCACAAAAATGACTTTCATACGAAAATGTGAATGAGTCTTTTTAGAAGACATGAGAGTTCTTAGTCTTTGTATTTGCTTGCTAGGGTCCACTCCGCAGTGATTTCCCTGCAGGTGATGGGGCCTCTTTGTGGCCATGGTAACTTTGTTGCACCTCATTATTCTGACATAATGCCTTTTGGGTAGTGCATAATGGTGAAGCCTCATTCTTTAACAGCTGCTCTACTATGGCTGTTATTTCTCATTGAGAATGGGGGCACTGTACCCAAACATGTATTTCAACCTTTGTTGGATAGGAGTAAAGTAAGAGGTTTTTCTTCCTGAATTGGTTGGTATTGTAAGGCTTTTGTCTAATTCAATTAATACTACCGGTATGAATTTCACACTGGGATGTAGTATAATGTGCTAGGTTTACCTCTTGTACCCCACTATGGCTGCATATTCCTTCTATGTTACAAAATTATTCACACAATGATGGGAGTAGCCTCCAGTTTACTTATATATTGCGTTAAGTGGTTGTTTTTTTTTTGTTTTTTTTTTATCCCATACTCTTGTTCAGAGTTGCTTATGTAATGTGGAATGTAGCCTTCAGCTGCAGTTCATATAGGATGAGTGGAACTCTACAAGTCAGTGACTGCCTTGCCTCAGCAGTAGTTAATTATACATAGCCCAGTTCATTTTGTGAATATAACTTTGTGCAGTGAGACCCAGAGCTGCCAGCTGCATAGAGAGGAAATGGGGTAGAGGTGTGTGTGTGTAATATATTTGAAGTCATTGATCCAGGAGCAGTTATGTAGATGCAGGAGTTTTTACAAATACTTAATGTTATAAGCCACTGTGTGCCGTGACACACTGACACGGTGATCCTAGGCTAGTGCTCAGTTCATAAAGGTTATTAAAGAATCCAGTTTCCTTAATTGCTTCACAGTCAGTGGTGATGGTAGGAGCATATTCAGATTGGGAGAGTTCCAACATGGAGCAATAAGTGATGGAGAGATCTGTAATGGCATTCCAATGTGGGACCAGTATTGTAGCCCTTAACCAACAGAGTCCAGTAAACAGATTTGCCAGTGCCATTTAGCTTTACAAGGGCAGGCCTATCTCAAAATTATTTAAAGGAACACTCCAGTGTAACAATTCAATTTTATATGTATATAGATGGTCCATACATTGTTAAACTGGTAAATTAATAAGGAGATCTGCACACCAGTCAAGCCATAAGACTTTCTCTTCCCACAGAAATCTCAAATTTGCAGTGATGTTACTACTGCAAAGGATTCTGGCTGGGCATATGCAATTGAGTTTAATAAAGAATTACATTTTTGCCTCATGTTGCATATGCCCACCCAGAATCCTTTGCAGTAGTAACATTACTTACCTCTGATCTAACGACGACAGGGTCTCCTTGCTGAACTAGTAATGACACCGCACCCAATCCAGTGCTTCTCACAGAGAAGTATTGGGATGCAGGGCATTGAATCCAGTGCTTCTCAATGAGCTACCTGACATTTGTTTTGCGTATGTAGAAGAACACTCCCCCAACTATCTGATTAATGGGCAGCCGAGAGCAACTGACATGTTTTGTGTCGTGCCATTTTTTTTACCCTTACAATGGCTGATATATACAGTGACCTGATTAGAAAATGGTTCCCTACTCTGTCAGCATTCTGTACTACAGAACTTGCAAGTATCCCATATTCAAAATATGCAGGATATACTCTTCCTCAAACATCTCATTTTCACACTACTCGGAGACACATCCACATACAATTAAACAAAAGTATCGTTTTCTCAAACTCCATCACTTTCAACCTGTGCCCTCTGCTTCTTCAGCTCATATGATGCCTAATTTATGCTACAATGTATATGTACGTATACACATGTACAAACACTCCACACTGGAATAACACGTTTAGTCAGAAACTCTGACTGCTGCAAAAAGTTTGACTTGGGGTACTAGATTTTGATTCACTTTTGGTCCTTGTTAAAGATCTGGATGTGGCTTTGCCAATCAGGAGGCTTTTGTTCTGTTCCGTGCAGTCTGATGTTTTCCTATAAGTTTTGCCTCACACCTTACTGACCAATCCATTCTTATTGCCCTGTCTCAGGAATGATTTGGTCAGTAATTGATGGGAATTTATATATGGTACACATGCCGTACAAATATTTGGGCAAGCAGAGGATATTAGACTCTGAAATGGGCAAGCTTATAGTTGCAGATGTATTCTAAAAATAGCTTTATATGTAAACACCTGTTTGAAGGGACCATAAGTTACGCAAGGAGCATAATTTATGATGCTAGGAAGGTCCCTTTAAGGGTAAAAACTATTTCATTTTTGAATAAGTTACACTGTTGGCAACCAGAAAGTATTTAGCAAAATTTTCAATGAGGTGTGTGCGTTGATAAAATCTTGGGAGTGGTGGTTACTGATTGTATAGAGAGAACTCCTGTCTTGTTGTTAAAGGACCACTATAGTGCCAGGAAAACATACTCGTTTTCCTGGCACTATAGTGCCCTGAGGGTGCCCCCATCCTCAGGGACCCCCTCCCGCCCGGCCCTGGAAAGGGGAAAGGGGTTTAAACTTACCTTTTTCCAGCGCTGGGCGGGGAGCTCTTTGCCTCCTCTCCTCCTCCATTCCGCCCCATCGGCTGAATGCACACGCGCGGCAAGAGCTGCGCGCACATTCAGCCGGTCGCATAGGAAAGCATTTACAATGCTTTCCTATGGACGCTGGCGTGCTCTCACTGTGAAAATCGCAGTGAGAAGCACGCAAGCGTCTCTAGTGGCTGTCAATGAGACAGCCACTAGAGGATTAGGGGGAAGGCTTAACCCATTAATAAATATAGCAGTTTCTCTGAAACTTCTATGTTTATTAAAAAATGGGTTAACCCTAGTTGGACCTGGCACCCAGACCACTTAATTAAGCTGAAGTGGTCTGGGTGCCTAGAGTGGTCCTTTAAGGTAACCTAAAAAGAGTAAAGCTTTAATGCTTTATGAAGTTATATATTTGATGAATATGCAATTCTAAACTAATAGATTTTTTCCTATCCGACGTTGTCTGTTCTTTCTGTTATAATATATGCTGTGTGAATGCACATATATTTGTGACTAGGAAGTATGTGATGGTAGCATGTAGGCTCTCTAATTTTAATGCTAAATGTGGGATAAGCTGTTTATCCACAATAGAGCGCATATTGGTTTATTTCATAAACAGACCGCTGTAAGCAGTACGCACTCTGAAGCAGCGTTTCCTAGACCGGATGTGGAGTAGATGGATGAAGCAGTGGAAATGTGATCATGTGATTGTGGTGAGAGTTGAGTTTGACTGGTTAATCTTAACTTTTTTTTTTTCCTCTCTCTTTGCAGTGACTATTTATTCAAGTTGCTTCTGATTGGAGACTCTGGTGTGGGAAAGTCTTGCCTTCTGCTCAGGTTTGCAGTAAGTATCCTTCTAACCTATTTTTTTTTTTTTTGTATGTGTTTATGTATTGCACCAACAATGTGACAGAACAACTTTAACACTTATAGATCTATCTGGTATCTCCCTTTGTTTCAGAGCAGCATGAATTAGTGCTGAAAAATATATATATATTTTTTTGTACATGCTAATCAATATTATACAGTACCCACACCTTTTTTCGGACATATATTCACACTTCAAAATACTCTGTATCCCAGATTTATCCTGTTGAATTGACATCTGATGTCTGTACATGCATTTGGAATAAAACACACTAATTATTTTATTGGAACCATGTTGAGATTATTGCTGTATGATCAGGTGCACCCTGGGTTAAGTATTTATTGGAAAATGTGTAGACTTTGGATATGAAGTCTTTTTTTTTTTTTTGTACATTTTGGTATTTAAATGAAGGTAATTTGGTATTAAGAGGCTTAATAAGTAAGAAGCTTTGTCCACAGCATTACATCAGCAGCCTAGCCATTCATACGAGGCAGAGTTGGTTTGTGTGGTTGTAATTTTTATTTATTTATTACACTACTATCTATCAATATCCACTGTACTTGGGTTTCTATAGTATAAGGAATACAAAACTGTAAAAAGAATTTTTAAAAAACACCCTTTAACACTTATCCTATTCCAGCGTCGTTCTCACTCAGTGCTGGGTCGGTTCTCCGATGCCATCTGATAGAGGTGGAGGTTAATGCGCATGTGGAGTGAGTGCCACAAGCGCATGTGGAGTGAGTGCCACAAGCGCATGTGGAGTGAGTGCCACAAGCGCATGTGGAGTGAGTGCCACAAGCGCATGTGGAGTGAGTGCCACAAGCGCATGTGGAGTGAGTGCCACAAGCGCATGTGGAGTGAGTGCCACAAGCGCATGTGGAGGATGTTAACCTCTCCCCTTGGAAAAGCATTTCTGCAATACTTTCCTATGGGAACTTAACTGACGCTGGATGTCCTCATGCAGAGAGTGAGGTCATCCAACATGATTTACGTGACCAAAAGTCGCTTAATTACCAGGGCTACTGGGGTCTGTCAGGCACCATTTCCTGCCTCTTCTACCAATGCCAGAAACGCAAACATTCTGAAGCATAACATCCGTTTGCTTGCCTAAGATAAACCCTGTAATGTAAGTCTTTGCACATTGGATGAGAATGATCAGCTGACACTGTCAGCCAATGACCTACTAATGGAAGTTCCTGCTTAGGAACATGCATCTCTCTGGCAGACTCTAGGTAAAAAGTGAAACCATTCTAAAACCGTTTGACTACTTTCAATGTGGAGAACTGTAGTGGATATGGTGCTTGGGATCTTTAATCTTCGTATTACATTATTCCATGCCCATGTAAATGTACTTTGGGCAAAACATGGCTTCGCTTTACAGTTGTTTTATTCAACAACAGTTAAACATTTTCATGCCGACTAAATTGGAAAGATGGCATTTCAATCAGGGCCAGCGCCACCGTAATTTAGGCAAACTAGTCATTCACCTAGGGCACCGGCCTGCTTGGGGTGCCCACCAGGATATTTCCTGGTGAGTTACCCCTGTCTTGGGCCGCAGAGCTGGGTGAACGGCTCTTGAGTCGCACCCCCCAGCCCCGGGCCGTTCCTCCAGGTGCCCGAAAGTGGGGGTGCCCAGGGGAGCCCTTTCACAGGAGGGCACCCTTGAAGCTGTCCTTCAGTATGGCAGAACTGAGAAATGCCGGCGGAGATGGGAACAGGAGGCAAGCGGCTGTATTGTGGGTGGCGAAGGAGGCTGTTTTTGCAGCTACTCACTTCTCCCTTGCGCGGGCCTCTGTGATGCCGTGAGCTGGAAAATGGCGTCATTGTGGCACCGGCCACTAAACAGCGCGTGGGAGGAGTGAGAAGATGCCCCATACTCGACCGCAGGGAGGCTGAATTTGCCTCAAAAATACAATTGTGAGTCTGTGTGTTTATCTGTGTGTCTGTCTGCCCGTGAGTGCGTCTGAGACCGAGTCTGGTCGTCTTATGTATTCAATGCGTTTGGCGAATTTAATTTATAATTTACCACAGTAATAAATTATGTATTCAAAATGTACAATGTATGTATTAGGCAGTATGTGTGTGTGTATGGATGCATGTATTGGGCAGTGTGTGTGTGTATGGATGCATGTATTGGGCAGTATGTGTGTGTGTATGGATGCATGTATTGGGCAGTATGTGTGTGTGTATGGATGCATGTATTGGGCAATATGTGTGTGTGTATGGATGCATGTATTGGGCAGTATGTGTGTGTGTGTATGGATGCATGTATTGGGCAGTATGTGTGTGTGTACGGATGCATGTATTGGGCAGTATGTGTGTGTGTACGGATGCATGTATTGGGCAGTATGTGTGTGTGTGGTGGGCAGTGTGTGTGTGTGTATGGATGCATGTATTGGGCAGTGTGTGTGTGTGTATGGATGCATGTATTGGGCAGTGTGTGTGTGTGTGTATGGATGCAATGTATTGGGCTGTGTGTGTGTGTATGGATGCATGTATTGGGCAGTGTGTGTGTGTGTGTGTGTGTGTGTAGATGCATGTATTGGGCAGTGTGTGTGTATGTATTGGGCAGTGTGTGGATGCGTGTATTGGGCAGTGTGTGTGTATTAGGCAGACCTAACTGAAAACCATATGGCAAAATTTAGGCCAAAATGACTGATCTAGAAGAATTCTCCAGTTCAGCTGTTTTTGCTTAGACTTTGCAATTTGGTTTTCAGCTCACTGCAATTCAGAGTTTAGTGAATAAACCTCTGTGACATTGTATTTGCTTTCATGAGGGGGCAGCAAAATGGATCTTTGCCAAGGGCGGCAGAAATCCTTGCACCGGCCCTGGGTTCAGTGACACTGTCAGGTTTCCCTTGCAGTGTTCTTCAGTTTTATAATATAGCACTTTATGCTAATGCATGCATTGGGATCTGAATGTGCCAATTCCCAGGTATGTATGGAACGGTGTTAAAGCTTAAGCAGAGCTATATTCACACAGGGTACTGTGAAAAATTATTTGGGTCTATTTATTTGCTCGTACAGAGTGTTTGCTAAGAAGCTCTGGGACTTGATTCACTAATGTGTAATTTGTCTGGAATTCAAAGTAAATCTAATTGTGTGTTTATTTTTTTTATTTTTATTCCCCCAATTTAGTTTCTAATTCACTTTTCCATTTGTTAAACCCATTTTGTAGACTAGATTTAGACAAATTCCTTTCCTAGGTAGAATTGACATTTGTCTTGAAGAGGTTAATGTTTGCATCCAAGTGATGTATATGGTTATTTTTGTAAACACAATCCGAGAAGGAGTAATGTTTCCACGAATGGGAAGGTAACCTAGATCCTATTATGTTCTCTAGATCAGGTGCCAGTTCAGCTATGAATAATTTAATAGGCAGAGCGAAAATACAATGAGCAACGTATTATAGCCACTAGTTCACCTTTTAACAAATTATGTTTTGGAGTTTATAGTGTTTAGGGACAAATTTAAGAACAGATGACAAAATATTTCCATATCTATTTAGCTGGCTGTACCCATCTGCTCACTGGAACAACGTTTTTCTGATTACCAAGATTTTTGATTATTATTTTTTTTTCTTTAAATGCATGTTTTACAGTGTTTCTTGGTATTGTTTTACACTGGCTATATCCTTGTCTTCTTGCTTCATTGTGAAGTGAAGTTTAAATGTGGGAGATCTGTTCAGTAAAGGGAGGAACCATTGAGTAGCATTTTAATATTTCAAAAGAGACTCTGATGTATTTGCTTTCAGCCTATGTTAGTACCAGCTGTAGTTCTTTCAGACAGACTGATCAGGTCCTACTTGGGAATCTCTGTTCAAGTAGTTTCTAAGTCCATCTTTTTGCTCCAGCACACCATATCAAACTCCCTGGGGTCCTTTTGGCCAGGGGGGAGGAGGGGAGGCATGTGCTGACTGAGACTACAATCGCTTAATCATGCTTTCTGATAGGCAATGATCATACTTGGACAGCTGTCTGTCTCAGACTAGCATCGGACAATGACCACTACGAAGCCATACAGTATACCAGCACTGATGCACAGCTTTGGGTTGGAAAGCAAATGGAGTGTGGTTTGTGAGAATACATTGGTTGCCTGCGTAGTGTATGTGTATTCTTTTTTTTTTTCCTGAATGGTGTGCTGTGTTCATCTCCATGTCCTGAGGGTGCTCCATTTCCTTGCCTGCATCATGGTGTGGGGGGTAAAGTGTATAAACCCTCTGAATGTTTGTGGGAACATTTGCCAGTAATAAAAAAAAAAAAAAAAAACAGCATGCCAATAGGTGTAATTATTATTTTTCCCCCTCTATAAATGGAGTTTTAAAACCTCTTATTTTCTGCTATATGAATCTAGTTAAGCATTTTCTTTACTTTTCCCCTCCTCCAATACTGAAGTATTTACATGGAGCACTGTCCCCCCCCTCCCCCCCCCCAGTTGTTATTGATTTCCTGTTGCATAATTAGCAATGGAAATTGGATCAAAGTTTTGTTAGTCTTAGTGAGAGCATTTGGAGGTTGTTTAACCAGATGTTTGGTCCTTAAGGGGTTAAACAACATTGATGCAGAAAAGTCTACCCCCACCTCCAAACAAAAGAAATAAAAAAACAAAAACAAACTACAGATGCATCCAAATTCACTCACAAGGTGTAGAAGAAAGCAGGCATATCAGGGAGTCTGATGGTTTTAGGGGGGCCAAGGACTCCCTCATACAATATTCAAGGGAAACGTCTGAAAAGTTTTTTTGTTTTTTTTTGTGCATTTTAATCTTTAAAAAAAAAAAAATATATATATATATATATATTACGGCATCAAAAATGAAAACAAAGTAACTATATAGGTCCTGCGTGCTTCGTCCGCTCACCATAAAGACTTTGAGATCAATAAAGTAGTAAAACAATAAATTTAACTTAAATAAAAAAATCTAATATGCTTTCTTCTTCATCTTGTGAGAGCATTTGGTTGCATCTGTGGTTTATCTAGAGAATTTGTGTTGTATATGTATGCATACGTCCTATGTTCCAGGCACCATTATGCTTACATGGGCTAGTGTGGGATTTAATGCACAATGTTGACACCTGGTGGATGAACCTGCATTGCTGGAATAAACTTTCAGATTTAAAATAATGGTATTTGAGAAAACAGAATAACTCAAGTTTTCATTAACAATAGAATGTATAGTGGAACATTCTATTGACTTGACAGTCTCATTTACAATTTTCCTCATTGTACATTATAGGTTTACTGTATTTAAAAAAAAAAAAAAAATAAATAACACTGAGCTAGTTTTTGGCCATTTCCCAGAATTGGCAACTTTTGCAGTGATTTCTGCAAAGAATAGAAAGTGGTTGATTTCCTCCTTGCCTATAATAGTACTCACAGCAGGAGTTATATGATATAGAGTCTACAGTAATGGCAAATATTGCTGTACAGACCTATGCTGCATGGAGTTTCTGGCTGCCTCTCATTTATGAAAGAAATTAAAAAAAAAAAAAAAATGAAAGCTATACTCTTACAGGTAATTGGAAGCGGACTCTAAGACTCTAAATACAGCAAATTAAGTATTGACAGAGTCAAAAATACACTAAATTGAAATGACCGTAAACATATTGCATAAATCAATTTATACAAGAATTGTTTTGATATTTTATTCCTTCTCGAGTACCTGATAAAGATGTTTCTTTCCCTTTTCTGTTCCTTTTTGTAGGATGACACATACACGGAAAGTTACATCAGTACAATTGGTGTGGATTTTAAAATCAGGACTATAGAATTAGATGGAAAAACAATTAAACTTCAAATAGTAAGTAAATGCTGTAGAATTGATGTTCATAATGTTGTGGCAATGAGCTCCTTTGCAGCACTGCTCTATTTTGGTTATTGCTATTTTGATATGTGTGTGCTGTACATAACATTTAGGAAATATTTACGGAGAAAGTATGTATCCTGGTTGTCTTTGGTGACTAGAGAAACCATGTAGAAATATAGAATTGTATTTATCATTCTGTACAGATATACATAATAGTATAGAATATGGTAAAACATGTAGCCTAGAGAGACTCTAAAAGAGGTTGATATCTGTCCTTGAAGTGCTGAAATACTGCAGAAGACCTAGGGTTTTTGCAAATGCAGTGTATTCATGCCATTAAAGGAACACTCTTAATGTTTTTTAAATACAAGAATGTGTTTGAAACATTATTAAAGTGTTTCCCTGCCTTTTCGTCTTTTTCCAGATACTTTAAAATATAAATAAATGCAGTTTCAAGTCACATTGTAATGCAAAAATTAATCACATATCCTTAGTCTACATAATAAAAACTGACTTAAAAATAAATACATTTTTAAAAATGCCCACATACCACTAGGGGGCAGTAAAGGTTTTAGCAGTAGGAATATCTGTCCTGGCTTTAAAATTGGCATAATGTTTATATAGCAATATTTTTAGTAAGAATAAAGGATATAACCTCTATATACACACATAACTGTCACATTTCTTAAACTTTTTTTTTTTTTTTCAGTGGGATACAGCAGGCCAGGAAAGATTCCGAACCATAACATCCAGTTACTACAGAGGAGCCCACGGCATCATAGTTGTGTATGATGTTACAGACCAGGTAATGTTTCTTTAGTTTTAAATCCACCTAATTATGCAGTTTGAGACAGTGGGGTGCCCAGAGAGTTTTACTACCATAGCATAACTCATTACTATGACTGCAGATGTCTGTGATATAAAGTTGGCGTGGAGAAGAGGAAGGAAAATCAGAGAAAATGTTTCAGTAGGACCTGCAGTTCTTAATGAAAACTTGACCCACATCTGTGGGCAAAGCAGGACATATTTTATTATTGTAGGAATATTGGACCTTAGCTATTGTTTCTTTGAAAGAATAGATTGATTCATTATGTTAAAATAAATTTGTTATGCTTTTCTAGGAATCCTTCAACAATGTAAAGCAGTGGCTTCAGGAGATAGACCGTTATGCAAGTGAAAATGTTAACAAATTGTTGGTAGGAAACAAATGTGATTTGACTACAAAGAAAGTAGTGGATTACACAACAGCAAAGGTGAGTTGGGATATCGGAACTCTATTTTGATATGTTACTGAAATTCACTAGTTTCTGTAAGGGGTTGGGAGCATTTGGGGTAACAACTGTTTAACAATATGGATTATTATTCACCCCAGTAGACACTGTTGTATTCTTGACTGGATATGCAGCCTCAAAGTATTGACACGGTATTAGAACTTTCATCTATTCATCATATTTCTAGCATATGCATCCATTTATATTATTCGAGAGGCATGTTCTTACAGTATCATGGAACATTAGAATTTCATTCTAAAATAAGAAGCAGGTATCATTAATATTAAATGCATGCTGCAGTGCCACATAGTGTTTAAAACCAGACCGGATACTATTATATTTTTCTGTAGACCTGGAGTTGTATTATTTTTTTCAATTTAATGGATCAGGTTTTTTTTTTTTCTGTCTGGGTATGATCGGCAAAATGCATGCATTAGGAGCAGTTTTTGCCAACTAAGATGCAAAACTGTTTTCAGTGTAGCACAGTGAATAGCTGTTGGTTAGCTTTTAGAATATACCCTCCCTAAAAATGTGACCATCCATCATTAGCTTAGTGTTATGAGGCATCACAAATATGCCACTACTGGGTAATTCTTTCATGCAATAGCATAGCTTTCAAACCCTGGAAGTCTGTACCGCCTATTGAAGCTAGAGATACCATATTTGATATATTTCATCCGTACAATCCCAACGATGCTCTGTTATAAAGGAACACTCTAGCGCCAAAGCAACTTTATTTTTATTTTATTTTTTTGTAGATTATGCCCCTGTATTTTTGCTGTTCCATTCTCTGCCATTTAGAGGTTAGGTCACTATGTTCAAAGGACACTATAGTCACCACTCGACTTTAGGTCAGTGAAGCAAGTTTGGTGTATATATCATACCTCTGAAGTCTTACTGCTCAATTCACTGCCATTTAGGAGTTAAATCACTTTTGTTTCTGTTTACGCAGCCCTGGCCACATCTCCCCTGGCTGTGACTCATACAGCCTGCATGAACACAAAATGGTTTCATTTTTAATCAGATGTAACTTACTTTAAAAGTTTTTATCTCCCGCTCTGTAAATTGAACTTGAATTACATTCAGGAGGCTCCTGCAGGGTCTAGCAAGTTATTAACAGAACAGGAGATAAATTCTAAATTCAAGTGCATTTTCAATAAAGGTAGTGTAAACATTAGATGACTCTTTACAGGAAGTGTTTAGGGAGGCTGTGTAAGTCACATGCAGGGGAGGTGTGCCTAGGGCTGCATAACCAAAGTGATTTAGCTCCTAAATGGGAGAGAACTGAACAGTGAGACTGCATGGGGCATAATCTACACACCAAAACTGTTTAATTGAGCTAAAGTTGTTTTGGTGACTATAGAATCCCTTTCATGCAGTCCCCAATCCTAGCCACAGTACTTCTGGCTGAGAGTCATGCAGCCTCACTATACACTTCCTATAAAATAAATAATATATATTTTTTTTTTTTAGATTTTCTTATTGCACAGTGCATTTAATTTAGACATTCTATTCTTCTGCTCTGTAAACTGCCTGCTAGAGCCTGCAACAGCATCTGTGTTTAAAGTTACGTAAAGAGATCAGGAGATTTTTTTTTTTTTAAGTACACACCCTGACCTGTTTCTGATAGAAAATGAAAGCATTTTTTCCATGCAGACTGTCAGTCACAGCTAGAGAAGGTGTGGCCAGGGCTGAAGAAACCGAAATAAGTGATTTAGCTCTAAATGGCCAAAAATAAGCCATGAGACTGCAGGGGCAGCAAAATTGTTTCGTTGTGATAGTCGTTCATCTAAAGAGTATCTGTTTAAGTGCACACATAAGCCTCTCATTAATTTTAGTGAAGAAATAGTTACACATGAAGGTGAGCACCTTTTTAAGGGCAGAATTGAACAACTTCAACAATAAAAATATATATTTTTTAATAGTTTTCTGTAGGCTTGCATGAAGTTTATAAAATGGTTTATGATTTAATAATTGTATTAAATAGTTTATGATCACAAAAACACATACAAAAGAGTGTAGTAATGTATTTTGTTACACATTAGCCTTCACTGGTGCTTTGCTTCTATAGCAGATTTTATCAACCTACATTCATAATATAAAACTGTAGTAGGACTATTTAAATGAACACTTGAATAACGACACCAGTGCTAATACAGTTCAAAGAGAGTAAAGCAGGGAACTCTATATATCAGTTCTTGAATACTTGATAGGAAACTTTTACTAGGGGTACCTGCTTGGAATATTCTTTTATAATGTGGTACTTGGAAAATTGTTGATCTATTCTGGAGGGTTGGTGAGCTTCATTATGTTTACCTAAAAATATATAGGCCTCTAAAGTTCATGCAGGAAGAAAAATAGAGGGCATTCTGTAAACATCTCCTATGGGTGAGAAGGACTATAAAAATGTGCACAGTCACTAGCTTTTTATATTACAGGAGTGTGTGGATAGCAAGCTAGTTTAATTTACATTCCCATTTCCCTTGTCCAGGAATTTGCAGACTCTCTCGGAATTCCATTTTTGGAAACCAGTGCAAAGAATGCGACAAACGTAGAGCAGGCCTTCATGACAATGGCTGCTGAGATCAAAAAGCGAATGGGACCTGGAGCTACAGCTGGCGGCGCAGAGAAATCCAACGTCAAAATCCAGAGCACTCCAGTCAAGCAGTCCAGCGGAGGTTGCTGCTAAAACAGCCTGTCCAGCACCCACCCCATTCCCTCACAGCAGAGAAATCTCAATCTGAACCTAAGTGACAAAAAAATTGCCTGAATTGTACTGTATGTAGCCGCACTACAACAGAATCTTACAGTCTCCCCAAAGGTCAGCGATTGTAAAAACTCAATACTGACTTTTTTTTTATGCCCCTGACTCAAGACAGCTAACTTCATTTTCAGAACTGTGTAAACCTCTTTCTCCCCATGTGCTGATTTTTCACCATAATGTGTGTAACCCTTGTTGCTTTACTAATACCAGACTGTCTCCCCTGTGGTTGTTTAAGATACCTATTGCTCCCATCCTCCCATTTTTGATGTTTGGCATGTTAAGGTGTCAGGTTTAGTCTTCTGAAGATGAAGTTCAGCCATTTTGTATCAAACAGCACAACAGTGTCTGTCTGTTTCCATGCATCAATAAAGTTTAGTGAGATGTTATATGTAAGATCTGATTTTGCTAGTTCTTTCTTGTAGAGTTATAAATGGAACGATTACACTATCTGATTGGCTCTTTTGTCGCCATAGGAGCCTCCGACGCACTTGCTTTGCATTTAGTCGCAGGCTCCTCTGGCAATGTAAGTCTCAATAGTTTCTTCATACTCTGCATATAATTTGTGGCTGCAGAACATTGTAATTTGTTGCACAAAATGTAACAAACAACTGAAGAAATGTTTAATAAATATTGTACTTATTGGAAGTAATATCAACTGTATGGTGATAAGTATTGTCTTAATTTGTTTAGTAATGGGGAAATGAAGGTATTTAGTATTTCTGCCTGTTTCGGTTGAGACTGCACCCTGTACTTAATTGACGTTTACAATTGGTTATTCATACACCAAACTAACAAGTGCTTAACTAACCCAATCAAATGCAACCACTATTGTTAAAGTGTCTAATCTTTAAAGGAAAGTTAAATTAGATAATTGTAAGTGACCGAAATATACATTAGTTTAAATGTACAGTGTTTGCCCTATTTTAATCCTATGGGGATTTGCATTGTTTTTATTTAGTAACGATTCTGCAGAGGTGTTAAGCAGTGCAAGTATGACGGTGACTCATTTTGCCATTTTATTTATGCTGTTTCATCCTTTCATTACTTTTATTAAAGAACGCCAGCCCACCACTTTATGCCAGTTCTAAACTAAAGTTAAGTGATATGCATACAGAATGAAGTGTGACATAAAAGGTTATAAAAGTGAGCTTGCATCTGGGGGGAATTTAATCTTGTATTTAATAGTGGTTTCAACAGATTGGATTATCAAACTCCTGTCTGATGTATATAGCATCTAAACCTTTATGAATGGCGTATAATACTGCTAACTTATGCTACTTATACAGGTTGAAAGTTGGATACCCATGTGTTTGTCTTAATGCAAATAAAATATGTTAACACTGAACGTGTAGTCAGCACTCAATGACAAGTAGGCACATCCACACTACTTCTCATTGCATAACAGTTAATTTAGTGGTCTTTTTTTTTTAATGTAATATTGCATGTTTCATAGACCTCTCCATGGCTTTAATTTATCAAGCAGTGTTTTGTTTAACTTGCCATGTAGTAGTGGGCCATGTATATTTCAATTTGTGTTTTTTTTTAGGGGGGTGGGGGGAGGGACTGGCCATGTATAAAAATATAAAGCATCCAGGTTTCCTGGTCACTCGTGGGCGTGGTCTAAGCTTTTGAAAAGCCGGTTTAAAAGCCCCATAACAGACCAGGGATTTTAAGTCTATCTACTTGCTATCAAACATGTAGTTTCTGAAACAATTTTCTGCTGGTGAGACCTAAGACGATGTCGTAGACTGATCTACCTCTGCTTGGATGAGGAGATTCTGCAATGTTTAAGACCCAAAGACTTGTTTTGAGAATGTATGTAGTTTGTGAAACCCAGACTGCCACGCCTGCCTATAGAAGTAATGTGATTTTCCTATTAATGTTTCTGGAGTAAGTCTTGCCAACTTGAGACTTGTACCATAATTATTTTACTTCCAGTTTGGGTAAGCACGCTATTCTGTAATTAACACTTCATGTTCATTCACACCCTATATGAAGACTTAAGGAGATTAAATTCAGTCCCCAATATGAAAGAATTCTTTACAATGCCATTTTCAAGTCAAATCCTGTTCATATATTGGTAAGTAAATTATAAAGATAAATATCAGCTCCGTGCTATGGTGTTCCAGGGACTTGGTTACAGTGGAAGTTGTAACTTCTGGATTTGTTCATAAATGTAACATTTGCTCTTTAAAATGTACAAAGCTCAATCAATTACTACAGGATCCATGTGGTGGGCTAGAACACCCGCTAACAAGTAAGACAGCCACATGTGTACGGCCAGTTTGCACTTCTTTGGACTACTGTAAATCAAGGGCTGTTCTTTAATTTCTACTGGTAATGGTTTGATATTCCGTGTACCTAAACCACTGGGCATCATGAAGATTCCAGTTGGGATTGGGAACCAAATTTACAGTTCCTTCTCTGCGATGCGACTTCCGCTCTGTACAGGGTTAACAAATGAGAATGGTCAGGGATGTAAATGAACTTAAAATTTAAGGTCAAATCAGCTGAACTGGAAAATTGTCCAAGTTAGCTATGCTTCCAGTTTAGCTACTTTAGCATTACATTTCATTTTGTGACAATTTTCACTTTAGTTGAAATAACATTGTGTTAGAGGTTTTTAGTCTGGTGTATAAACCCAAGTGATCTCTGGTTCTATTGAGTAGTACACTAGAGTGATTTACAGACCAGGTTTTAATAAGCTTTTGCTCGAGGACAGAGCCATCTATTTAATACCAAAATTCTAAAACATTGAGGATCAGAGGTTTTATTGCTCTCACAATATAAATGGAAACGATTGTAAAATTAAGATGTTTATTAGCTGGAGCTCTTATTAAACAAGCTTGAGTGACAAAGTTGCAAGATGGTGCACACAAAATATAAACCAATGTAGCAGACATCTGACAAATCACAAATCAATAGTGATACAAATCTGAACACATAACAAGTTATTAAAATTTACTTTATACAGAACATGCTTAAAATAACTTCTGAATAGCTGTCTTATCACCTATCCTGACATCTTCAAATGCACTTTAAACAAATCTCAGCCATTCCAAACCAGTTTAAAACGTCTGCAGGTTCTTCAGTCTGCCATGCGGAATATAGTCTTCAACTTTTCAACCTAAGGGGCAGATGGAGGCAAAATTAAACAAATTTATGGGCATCCAGAATTGCCAATATATTCTGAAATGTTTTAAATAATTACGTGCAATTTCAGTCATGCAGAACAAAACCTGCACTCTAATTTTTCTGTCCCTAACTTCACCATCTACCACTTGTAATTGTGTGGGTGGTCTTGAAGTTCTGGTTACAACATCTACCTAACAATTTAGGATGCATCAAAATTAAAGGTGTAATGGTTAACCTCAGCATCATGTGAAATTTAATTCAGAAAAGGTGCCATAACTGCACAAGTATTTGTTCATGGTTTTAATGTGATATTTGTGAATTTTTACTGTTTTTCTCTAAATACTGGATTGTAGTGAAATCAAATCCAAATAACAAAATAGCCAAATTGTAATTAGTGGAGATATTTTAAAAAAAAATTTTGCTTTCCCAAAATCGGACAATTTTGTGTAAATTAGGAAATTTGAATTACAACTAACAACCACCATGAAGTTGAATGGTGCACTTTTCCTTTAATCACCATAGAATCGTGCAGGGTTTTTTGTGGGGTGTTTTTTTTTTTTTTTTTGGTACCTGGGCAAAAATTTCTTTTGGAGTGCACACTTTTCACAAATTGTAATTTTTATTTTGCTGGACTTTATCAATCTTTCTGACTCTACCTGTCCACTTGTATTATAGCATACATACTCAGACAGGAAAAATAAAGCTTATTGGAGATCATATTGGATCTTCATAAGATACATACATTCTCATATGCACCCAAAAAAGGCATTGTTTGCCATCATTGTCTGTCCTCCTCTCTCCTTAGACTGTAAACATGACTAGGGACTTCCTTGCAATTGAATGTGCTTGTAAAACCTCTGTGTTATATCTATTGTTTCCTGTACTGTTTCATCTATGTATACAAGATGTCTAATAATAAAAATGATCAAAAATTGTTTTTTTTTTTTTTATCCCCTCTTCTTTCTAATGACCTATTTAAACTACCTAGTTTTATGTTAAGCTGGAATCTTGCATATTTAGTTAGTAAACTGATTTCTAGAATAAACTACTTTAGGCTGTTTTAAAGTAAAATATTGTGCCATAGTAGCCAGGCCTGTGATGATACTGTCACTGCATGCTTGGATGGCCCATCATCCATTTAGAGCCCTGTTCTTGAGTTTTCATGCATGTTGTGGCTGCCTAGCCAAGTTAAGAGTGCTTGACTCTTACACAAACTATACTAAACAGTCTGCCCTTTCTTTATTATGGCTGCACCGGTAGTTGTGGGTCAGTTTCACAGCATTAGATCTAGCATTTCTCTTTGCAATGTTGGGCAAAATTTGCCCCCTTAAGGGCCATGCTACTTTCCATTAATTCTACCACACTATCACTGTTTAAATGCACTCACTTTATTTTTTATTATTAAAGGCGAAATATGGATTTATTTTGATACCCTATATGTATACTTAACATTAAATTGGAATAAATTAGATTTAAAAAATAAATAAATTTAGTTTTACATTTAATCATTTTAACACACACGTGCAAAAAAAACCCCCACTAACTTAAAATAGACTCCCTAATTAGTCCCGATTGTTCAAATGCCCACTATATCTAGGATTTCAATAACTTTTTAGAAGTTTATTTCAAGGATTGAAAGCTAAAATTTAGCAAATTTTGGAATGCTGAGATTTACCACATTCACTTGGGATCTCCCAGATACTGGGGGCAATTTAAAGGACCACTATAGTGCCCTGAGGGTCCCCCTCCCGCTGGGCTCTGGGGAGAGGAAGGGGTTAAACACTTACCTTTCTCCAGCGCCAGGCGGGGAGCTTTCCTCCTCCTCCTCTCCTTCCTAGCGATGTCGTCGGCTGAATGCGCATGTGCAGCAAGAGCCGCGCGTGCATTCATAATGCTTTCCTATGGACGCAGGCATCTTCTCAGTTATTTTCACAGTGAGAAGCACGCAAGCGCCTCTAGCGGCTGTCAATGAGACAGCCACTAGAGGCTGGATTAACCCATAGGTAAACATAGCAGTTTCTCTGAAACTATGTTTATAAAAAAAAAAGGGGGTTAATCCTATCTGGACCTGGCACCCAGACCACTTCATTAAGCTGAAGTGGTCTGGGTGCCTATAGTGGTCTTTTAAAATCATAGTGGCTGAGCTTAGAGCGTTGCACAAAGCTCTCCTGTCAGTCTGGGTCCACTGCCAAAAGGACCCTCAGGTATCGAAAGATCTAGGGCTGCTCAGTTTTAACTGCTGGCATGCTGGGGCACACTAAAATACAGCAGCTGAATGTGATCAGTCCGCTACAGGATTTAAAGGGCCAAATTGTGGCCCCAGTAGACTGAATGGACCGTTGTCTACTGTGGCCATTGTATATGTGAGGGTCTCCACTGCAAGGAGTCCAATGCTACCTTGGACTCCTTGCAGAGGGGACCCTCATATATACAATGGCATTTTGTGCTCCTTTTACTGTATGATGGAAAGTTATTTATATTGTTTTCCAGACTGTGACATAATTATTGAATCCCAACACTGCTATGTAATTTACATTAAATACCCTATACCAGTGGTTTCTAAACAAGTACAAACTGATACTCTCCTGTTCTCCAGAGCAGAAAGGTGTTTTTATTTTACGTTCACCGGACCTTTGTTTTCTATGGCCCAGCATGGGAAGTTCAGCCTCTCTCACTCTTGTTTCAACAGGTTAGGTGGGGATTATGTATTGAGGCTTGCTAGTATAGGTATACAAGAATCGAATCTATCCATATTTTCAGTTGGTTTCTCGCTCCCTATTGGTACTGTTTGTTGTATATTGAACTAAAACATATCACATTTCTGGGTTATTTTGTTGAACATTTCTCTGATTTTTTTTTCATGTTGTCCTCCCATAGTTGTTTTAACCCCTTAAGACTGCAGCCAAATGTACAAGTTGTGATCAAAACAAAATGTAAACCAAACCTGGCATTTGCGCTATATGTCTGTCCAACCGTAATTCACCTCTTTCATATTAAATGCACCCACACTTATATATATATATATATATATATATATAATCATTTTATTCAGGGAAAACAGGGCTTTCATTTAACATCAAATATTTAGGTATGGAACATAATTGAATATGAATAAAATAAAAAAAAAAAAAGGGAGAAAATACGTTTTTTTTTTTTTAAGTTTTCTTATTTCTACGTGACATTTTAACTTTCGGGCTGGGTTGTCAGGCAGGTCCTGCAAATTGTAATTAATAAAATAACCTAATTATGTAAAATTATTATATATATATATATATATATATATATATATATATATAGTTTTATATATTTTTTTTATATAGTGTAATATATACGTATATAGATATATTTTGTTCTACATGTATTGATATATTTAAAAAAATACAGTTAGAACGAAATGACATGTATATAAAGCTATTTTAAATTTTTTTCATTTTATTAACATATTTGTTATATATGAAAATTATATATATTTAATCAATATTGTACGTGTATTTTAATATATAATTATGTATAGTAATATTAAAATACACTTAGTATGTGTGTGTATATATATATATATATATATATAAAAATCTAAGTATATATAAATTTAATTTTCAACTTTTATTTTTTATTTCAGACAGCAGGGGGGAGTACCTGTCATTACAGGCACTCCCCCTGCTGGCAATGCCTTGGACGGCTGACCTCTATCTTGCAGTTCCGCCGGGTTCCTCTCGCGAGATCTGGAACGTTGCCATGGCAACACCCCGGATCTTAATAGAGTTCACTCACCACCAGTCATGGTGTGAGAGGGACGGTCCCTCTCTCCCAGGCTAAAGGTAAAAAAGGAGGGGGGATACAATGCACCACTCACTATATATAACTATATATATATATATTTTTTTTTTATGTATGTATCACCTAGCCACACATGCATTACATCACAAACACAACTAAAACAGACCATATTAGACAATAACACACCACAATCAGCTCACTCTACACACGATGCAATCCCACTAGCAGGCGCCAAACACATGCACAATACTCTTTCCTGGCCCTTTTGTTTCCTGGTATCCCACTTATAGACACCAGAGACAAGTTGCAAGGAAACACAGTGCAAGCATGTTATTAAATTTGCTTGCACTGTGCAGGACAAATACAGGGCCCTTTTCTCATGCTAAAGCTCTTCAGCAGAGGTCTGCCCTAGAAGAGCATTGAACCAACATGCTCACTTTGAGAGGGGGCATGCTTGTCATTGGTAATGACAAAACACACTTTCTCTGCCCTGCCCCCTTCTTATGGGCCGCTGTGATTAAAAAAAAAAAAAAAAAATGTCCGGGCCGACTTTTTTCCCAATCTGGCCCTGCCTGCAGCTCACTTTCTTCCACTTTTCCTTTAGATGTATCCAGTTATTGGGTAACTTCTTTAAGTGCCAAGACACTTTCATCTCCAACTTTGCATTACCGACTATCACCCTTCACGTACAACATCAATATTAGCTGCACCCCCTTCCTGTGATATATCAATACATCAATGTGTCTGCATTTTAGCTTCCTTCTTTGGATTAACTCAGTTCATCCCTCAATTTTTATTTTTATTTTAAACACAAGCTCCCAATCCTCTCAATATCTCCCCATCCATTCTCTCTTCAAGATATGAATAAGGATTCTCCTTACCCAGCTTCCTCTCCCTGACAGGGCATTGATATTCTTCTCTACCCTACCAATAATATCTACTTCCCGTAATGATGTATTTCTGCCCCTTCAATAAAAGGACAATCAAGTTTATACACACATTTGGTAGAGAAATTAGAACTGCCAACGTCACCTATTACAGAATGTATTTTCTATATATCTTGAATATGTACAATTGGGATAGCCCTCAATAGCATTCCCATTTTTAGAAGACTCTTTTGGCATAATAACGTTATTTCTTTAACACTTCCTCAAATGAGAAAGCAGGATCATTGATCATTCATTTTATAAGAAGTGCTGTCCATACCCAAATTCCTGTGTCTAACCCTTCATATTGTCGTGTAATAGGGCCTGACATGATCATTTCTCAGGTTGCATTCCTTTTAAGAGTCTCCAGTCACACTTACCTAACTTAACTCCATCTCCATGGAGACATTTTTTAAATTACTATTTCTCCCCAAGCTGTCATCAGTGACGGTATCCATAGCTTTGAGAACTGATGCATACAGGCGTTCCGAGTGTTTCTCTAGTTCTCCCGGTTGTTTGGAAATTAATACAAGAGTGTCCTTCAAAACTATCATGAGGTTAAAGTATAAAAAAAAAAAAATTCAAATTGTAGGTTATAAATTACAAAACAAATAAATGGAAGCAGGTAAAGCGTGCACACTCACTAATTTACAAGACAAGGGCTAGTAGGATTTTACTAAGGTAGCTCATTGTGTGATCATCTTTGCTAGTGGATTACACAGTAACATAGCGAGGGGATTACCTGCAATGATTATAGGAATTATAGTTATACAGCAGGTAGACTTCATAACATAAAGGAAGTAGACTCCAATGTCATGGTTAATAAAGGTTTTTTTTAAATAAATTATACCAAAGTTTAAAAGGATGCTACACTCATAACAACTAGAAGTCACATCCACTTGAATCTTTCATTCCATAAAAAAAAAAAAAATAATTTATTTCCTAACATTAAAAAAAAAAATTCATGAGTTTGTATGTACTTTGTGTGAAACTAATTATTATAATTCTTCCAATTGTTTAGAAATAAAGAATGATTTTAATAGAAAAGATTCAAGTGGATTTGATTACTAGTTCTATTATATGATTGTTTACCTACAGCAGTGAGGGACCATCCCACACTGATACCTTAAAAAGTAGGTTATTTTTTTTCCAACTTATTTGTGAGTTTCACTCTACATGTGAAAGCCATCTCCAGCACCCACAGCTTATCATTACTGTCCTTATTTGGAAAGATAAGGAAGGGATTTTGTCATGTTTGGGTACCAGGAGAACACAATTTATTTTGTCAAACAAATTGATAAGGAATTTGAGAAAATCTGAAGGAACTAAAGTCTTCTTGACCTCACAACCACTATAATCAGCAGTATCGATTATGGTGTTTAGTGTCCCTTGAAAATATTTTCTGTCACATAGAGAAGGGCTTGGCAGTTATTTATGTACAAATGTTTACTTGATCTTAGCAAAGACACTAATCACTTTCTCGTTTCCTTCTATAGTGAAAAGACGTGGAAGACAATGTTGCAAAACAGTCACACGCCTTGATTTTTATTTATTTTTTAATCCGCTGTCAAAATATATGTTGCTATGAGATTTTTTGTGGTCCTGCACTTATATTGACTCTTAAACCATCAGTGTTAATAGCAAGGAAATTGATATATTTGATCCAATTGACTAGAAAGTATAAACGAAACCATAATGTATTATTTTAACAACACTACAATAATCTACTCTATTGGGCTACCAAGATATACGATAACATCGGTCTCGCTTTCTACACCAGTCAAAGAAATGTCTCACTCACACACACTCTACACTAGAATAACCGACAGCTGTTTTATTAGCAAGCACATAAATAATTTGTGACTTTGGATGTTTTACATAATATGCAAAATCTTGTTTATTGTTTTTTTCTTTAACATAATTATAAGATTGCATTCTACATTACATTGATTTGGTATCAGAGCTTACCAGAAGAATTGACAGACATATATTTTAGGAGTAATTCTCCATTTTTTACTACAGTTTCAGCCAGTCCCTGATGCTCTGCTATATCCTTCTTAAATTTCTGGAAAGCAAGAAAAACCATCACGCATTTATAATAAAGGCAATTTCCAAAGGATGTGTGTTATATTCCTGACAATTCCTGAGTGGTTTCATGCATCATGTAAAAAGTTGTTTTTATTATTCTTTTGCGATTTAGTATTAATCCAACTTGTTTGATGAAATGTGGGAGGTGGTGTTGCTATTACCCAAACACGCTCTCATTAAAATTCATGGGTAACCCCTACATCTGAGGAGTATTTAAATAACAAAAAGGTTCCCATCGCCCTCCACAAGGTAAACCAACTGTCCAGGTTCTGTCACCATTCCCATTGGAACAGCATTGGAAAATGTCTAAATCCTGAATCGTTGGTGTACCTCAATGATTGGGCTGGAAGCCACTGACAGAAAGAATACCCAAATAAGGTGAATGAGGAGGGACGTGGGGATTTATAACCGGTATTGATTCTCTTTAGATATATTAAAATAATTAAATAAGCATAGCTGTCCAGCACATATAAAATACACTTTGGGATAGGGACAATGGACAGCACTCAAAAAGGGTAGTGGGAGGCCTGGCAGATGACAAACTAGTCTCTCTATACAACATGAGACATACTGGATTACACAATGCACAACATTAAAGAAGTGCTAGGCAAAATAAAGAGAGTGGTTATTAATTAGCTGAAGTAGCCCGTTCTGCAACTAACCGGCTTACAAATTGCAAGAATTATTAATATGCTTTAAAAATGCATGCCCTTTGGACATAGTATTTATTTAAGTACCACGTTTAGAGAGCTATTACCTGCAAGGAATAAATGGAAGTTTCTGCTTATGTGAGAAGAATGATTTAAATTCTTTGCTATTAAATGCCAACATATAACTCACCAGGTAATGGCTCAGTGCAGTCTGGATACTTTCCACATCAGGCTTTGGAGCAATCCAGTTGTTTACTGTTTCAGCAACACCATAAAGCCACTGGATAAGCTTCTCAAGGTCAAGGCAAAACTTCTACTTAAAATATAGAAAAGGGATACATTAGATGACATCAAAAACACGAAAGGCATTCAAGTGAATTTTCAGTGAGTCTGCATGTATCACACGGGCATAGTCATATGTGAAAAAAGTTTATACTTGAATGTCATGCTTTCACATGGTTTTATTTTTAGATTGAACCTCTATGCTTTAGCAATAAAGCTTAAAATGACACATAATATTGCCAAAGTGGATATTGGTGCATTTGATTCATACAATAATGACAACTGTGCCACCCTCAATACTGCAGTGTTCAATTTGTAATAGAGCAAGTAATGTTTTGTCAAATGTGCCTTGTAATCTAAAATTAGTGGTTCATTATGCTATAATTGTATTAATAAAAGTTAAATTGCTTAAAGACCACTCCTGGCCTCATTACAGCTTCATGTCAATGAAGTCATTATGGGGGTCTGGAGGTCCTGTGCACTCTTTGGAATGTAACGGTTTTTGAGCAGTTTAATGCTAAAGTTCTCGTCATGACGCCTGTCCACTTCGCATCAAAATGAAAAGCTTGTGCCTTGGGCACCACTGATCCGCTGAGAGAATGAGAAGCTGTTGTGCCTAATCATTAAATTCATGAAGCACCAATATCCAAAAAGTAACAATCAATTACCTAATAAAGTTTATAACGATATTGGCGGGCACATAACCCAGTTTGGGATGAGTATCTTGGGCTATAGGAAAAAGAAACCACACAGAGACCAAGTTGCAGATAAGAATTCACACCACACTTTATTGTCCACAAGGGGACCCAATACAGAGTAAGCTTAACTCTCATTAAGTAGTTTCATGCATTCGCTTCAACAGCTTAGTATCTAGATATATCAGCTTAAGTATACATCACCATAAGAGGGGCTTGGTTGTGTCCTCTGCACGTGACTGGGGGAACTGGCAGTCAGGCTTGGAGTGACCCTCTCTGGGAACAGCAGAGACCAGCAACACGCGTCCACATTACAGGTGGGTAGTTCTCCAAGTGAGTGCCAAGTTTCTCCGTGTTTTATACCTTTTACCAAGTTTGTAAATTTTCCAAGGTTTCTTATCAGTGCAGATCAGCATGTATCTTGTCATGCGCATTAAGTAATCAGTATGGTTGATCAGGCCAGTCACATGCGGTATCTTATTCTATGTCCCTACTTTTATCTTGCTACACATTGTTGGCACCAAATCCCTCTTTTCAGCACGTGGGCCTTTTTGGATATTGGCCAGACATGCTATGGAATATTTTATGCAATGTCATCTTAGTTGAATTTCTTAGTGCGACACAGTTTAAGTTTTTTTTTGGCAATGTCATCTTAGTTGAATTTCTTAGTGCGACACAGGTTGAATTTCTTAGTGCGACACAGATTAAGCCAAGTGCCATCTTAACTATCTATAATAGATAAATTTGATCATTAGTGATCAATTATGCCTAATTAGTTAATTGGATTTTATCACAAAAGCAGATTTTGTTTTCCTTTAACAGTTCTCTCAAGAAAAAAAAAAAAAAGAAGAGGGAGAAAAAAAAAAATCACTTACCTTTCTGGAATTCTATTTAGCCACAGGCTAAGTTACCATAAATTATTAACTGGATCAACACATAAACCTAATCTGATAATATAATTAACCATCTAGCCCTATTGACATTTGGCATCAGCTATTAACCTAAAAAGAAGAATTCCATAAATTAGGAACCTATGTGGAAAAAGATATAGGTGCATGCCTGGAGAAGTTAAAAGGGGGGCGGGGGGAGGAGGGCTGTAAATCAGATGTGCAGGAGGTTCATTGCAAAAATGAGGAAATTACTGTAATAATGCATTTTTAAAATGGTTAAGATTGTTATTTTTTGCTCTCTATAAAATTTGTGTCAGATCATCTATCTTTGACATATCAGGTGCTATGTAAAATCAGACCTGCAGAGCACATTAAATACTATATAGGATGCATTTTAAAAATGTCAATAAAGGTTTGGCTCAAGCCTAAAATTACGTTGTTTTACCTGAATGCTTTGAATAAGTGTCTTGGCTTCTTGGACTGTTTGCATTGGGGAACATCCACTTATGTCGGGGAAGGCATGTGGAATGGACGATTCATCAAGTATCAAGCTCTGACCCCTGTAGCTACCATGCTCATATTCTCCACCTTTCTTGAGTTCATGTAAATCTTCAGTATTTCCAAACGACTGCCAATGCGGTCGACTGTCGCCATCTTGCACATATTCAGAGTATCTAGTCTCACTTGCACTTAAAGACAGGTCCTTTAAATGGGTGGCCAAGCTCTCCAACTCTTTAAGATTTGACGGTAACCTCATATACTCCTCATCACTGTCAACATCTTTGTGAGGAAGAAGAATTTTAGAAGTAGGAATAAAGCAACTTGATTTCTCAACATTTCCTCTCGGGACACTGTTTGTAGTAAAGAATGTGGACTCAAACATAGTGTATTTGGGAAGATAATCATACCTAGACTCTTTAACAAGGTCTGATTTATTGGCACATGGAATGTGCTCCTCAAAAGACATTTCATTAGAAGACTCAGATGGATTGTGTAAACGCTGATAAACAGGTGTCTTGAAAGGTGTTGAAAAGGCATATGGTGAACTTAGAAGATTTGTCCTTGAATATCTCTCTCTTTTTTGTTTATGTTCTTGGTAAGGCATGCTGGTAGAGTTTAACTTGTTGTCGCACGATATGTTATAGCTGTCAAGATCTATCCCAGAGTCATTAAAAAAGGGATCAGAGTCTGTGTCCTCACTTTCTTTACTAATATGGTACTTTGGATGCATAGGATATGTGTAATCGAGCAAGTCTTGATACTCTTTATTAGGATCCCAGTGTGGAGACTTTCGATCTGGACAAGGTGGAAGAGTGTCTGGAATGGCATACGCCCAGTACTGGTCTTGAAATCTAGATTTCCTCAAAGATTGTTCTGATTCTTTGCTCTTGCTGAAACTAGGATATACAGATTTGTGTGCCCCTATGTATGGATTATGATGAATTTGGGATGTTGAAATTCCATGTGAAGTCCATGAGGAATGTAGAAATGTCCTCGGTCTTGCTCGGTCTTCATCAGGGTCATCGAGACTATCACTTGTCCCAGAAAGTGTTGACCTCATGGATAAAGATGGCTGACTTGCGGTATCTATCAAGTAACCAGATGGATGTGGGGAAAATGTAGTCTTCTCTCCTTTTAAATTCATCTTATAAATCTATTGCATTATGTGTATAATTTATAGCACTCCTTAAAAACAACAAAAGAACCAAAAAGCATATTTAGATTTTAGCAGAAAGTTATGGTATTTTACACACACCATTTAAAATTTTATTATTTTTTTTTTTAAGTCAAAAATTAGAAGAAAAAAAAAAAAAAACTTACCAATGCATGAGTAATTTTTTTCCCTCCTTTATTTACATATAATTATTGCCCCACATTTACAAATATGTGATACTACTTACATATACTGAACTGGAAATACATTTGGAAATGGGAAGAAATCCCACGCTACTCAAAACCCAGATGTGAACGGTTTGGTACTTTGCTTCTGTCTCACATGGTAAACATAACTCTCTGGTGAGTTAAGAAATGGTTTTGGTGCACAAAGTCACCAGCAACTTCTCTCATGTGAAAAAAACCCAATTTCAAATGGTTTAACACTGAAGTGGAGTCCCCCAGGCACCGGTGCAGCTTCCTCTCTTGTACTGCTCCGTATGTACGTTTTGTTGAAGCATTACTCTTTATAGGCAGGCAGAAATAGACTGAGAGCGTCAACTGACATCATCAGCCTATCACTGCTGCTCCAGCAAATGCTTCTTCGTTTGCAAGCAGTAGAAGAGAGGAAGCCAGCCCTGTGCCGGTGAGCTCTAACTTTTTAATTAAAACAGGAGGAATGTATACATTGTATTGGCAAAATTGATGGCAAGTCCATATATGTTTTAATAAAATAGGTGGTTTACAGGTCTATGTATGCTGGGGACTGGGTGATAGGACAGAATAGGATGAATGTTTTGTAGGTTGATAGTTGTGGGGGGAGATGTCATTGTCCGTTGATGTCAATTTGCTTAAAAAAAAAAATCCAGCACACTGGCTTGATGGGCGTTTCTTGTTTGGTGTGCTTGGGGAAATATTCCCACGCAGAACCAATTGTTTGAGGTTATGGTGCCACCTCCGCATAACTCCCACAAACCCAGATCATGCTGCAGCATCAGCACTAGTGGAGCAGTACGTACACTACCTAAAGCAATAAACTATATAGATTTAATGTGAAGTGGTTTCAGTGCCCACTACACCAGTTCTGTTTTTTTTTTTAAGTTATCAATGTCACGACAAAGGCTAAATAATATTTTGAAGACAGAAACAGTTTCTCACAATATACGTGCTTTTGTACATAGTTGTTTTTTTTTTTTTTATTTTAGAAGCCACAATACCTTTGAAAATTAAGTTTACAATTTACCAGCATCTCAGTTTAACCACCTCAGCCGGTTTTATTACTTTCTGTAACTCCAACCAAACTGGTCCATACGTTGACCAATATCTCCCTTCTCTAGTAGCTGTTTATCATTAGTTCTGTCACTAGCTCCCATCACCTACAGAATAAGATTCAATTCCATGACCCAAATCTATGCAGCACTTACAGTGCCCTCCCATTTGGAGAACATACCTAGACGCATGTAATTTACATATCTTCGCAGAGGCTGAATCCCATTTAGCAGACTGCATAATAAACTCCTGAGATTATCTACAGGAGTTGTACAGTACTAAAGTATATTTTTTATATATACACACCAATGTATTTTACTGTACACAACTTACTAATACTTCCTTTGTGTTTGGCAATGGTACGTTTGTTGTTTCAACCCATTGCTGTATGCAATTACTTTTTCTGTATCGACCGTCACTGTTTTTTCTACTGTTTCAGCCTGCTGTGTATATCATTGTTTTGTAACCATGAGGCGGCATGCACTGTGCCTAAATACTAGCAATCATGCATTAAGCCTGGTTTGGATTTCTTAAGGTACTTCTGGTATTTTAGTTCTAATTAGGCAAGTTGCGACTTGTTTGAGCACTTAGTCTTATCACACAGTTCCAGCGTCTCTTACAAACGGATTTCACATATTCTGCTTTACAAATGAATAACTATAACTACATTAATGTTTCACACAAAGACATTCTATAATGTCCAGGAATTTAGCTATGCTTCAACACACCCCTTCCCTCCACAGGAGAGTTCTGGCTCATAGCCAATACTGTCAATATGTAGTGCGTTGTGGGTTTTATCTATCTCAACATTAAAACAAATGCTCAATGTTAAAACAAAGATGCAGCCCAGAGTGTTCACCATTCAGTGAGATACCTTATATACATAATAAAACATAAAACAGACCAAACTGCAAAAGAGTTATATTACATAAATTAGTCAGGAGTACCAATGAGTTAGGCAATGCATCACCTGCCCTTTGTTTAAAAATGCGTACCATAAAAATGTTTCAAAAACACTATATTTATTGGCTTGCTTCCTCCATTAAGTTTCCTACATTTGATCTCTTTGCATTATATTTGGTTTAAGTGGATTAAAAGGGACACTATAGTTACCAGAACCACTACAACTTAATGTAGTGGTTCTGGTGACTATGGCCTGTCCCTGTAAACTTTTTAATGTAAACCCGGCCTTTTCTGGGAAAAGGCAGTGTTCACATTGCTGCCTATTTACAACTCTAGTGGCAGTCACTCAAGACGGTGTGCAGTACCTACGTTCGGTGTCTCCACACTGCATGGAGACCATGAATGCTCCCCATAGAGATGCATTTATTCAATGTATCTCTATGAGAAGATGCTGATTGGCACAGTGCGGCACTTTGCAGTGCATGCACACTAGCCTCCCAATGCTTTCCTGTGGGAAAGCATTGAATTGGCTTTTTTCAGTCAACAAGAACATTTGTTTTAGTGGCCCTGGGCTGTGTGTATATTAATGGATGCTCTGAGTTCTCAATAGCATATTGCATGCTAGTGACATGGATAACAGTCTTTAATTTATCCGCTTAACCACAAATAAATCCGGAACATCGGTGATTCAGCACCTGAAGAGAAACTTGAGATCTCTATATCCCCAAATAAGAAATGGAGGATTATTCACCGAACAGCAAACCATAGCAAACTAAAAACCTAATTTGCTAAAATTACATCAAAATAGTCAAGATATCAATAATGTCAAAATTGAGATTTATGCTAACTTGGCTTTTTCAGTGACCACACTAGCTATCGACTGCAGCTGCTGATTTTTTTTTTTCCCCATCATACCCCTTGCTTTTTTTTTTAAAGCTGTGTTTAAAACAACGTCCTAAGGATATCTATAGAAAAGCAGTATGGAGTCTGAAACACGAAGCCTGTCTGTGCGCAACTGCATGTCAAGCTGGGAACTCTGGGATAGTTGTGGAAACCAAAAGCATAGCGGACATTTAGTAAATAACCCTGAAAGTACAGCACTGCACTGGATCACCATGCAGCCTGAAGGTATATTAGGGAATGGGTCATATTTATAAAGGTAAGTCAATAAGAATTGTGTTTCAAAGTAGTAGATACCTAGCAGTTACCATGGAACTTAAAGTGTTAATGCAAGCACCACAACCACTTCAGTGATTTGAAGTTATCATGTTGCTAGCAATCTGTATGTACAGTGTTTCACTCTGAAACAATGCACATACGGAGTTTAACACCTTGGTTGCCGGAGGTGGAACTCCTTTGCAACATCATTAACATCCTTATTCAGCCCGGCACTAACGTCAGTTCCATCCACAGAATTTCATTCATCAGCTAAGAGCTGCCAGCAAATAAATGAGTGGCAGGATCGATATCCGACTTCTGTAGCTCTGCAGAAGGTGAATGTCGTAAACCTACTACCCTACGAGAAGCCCAGAAGCCCGACAGGAACCAGGTAAGAAGACAAACCATTGCAAAACAGTTTGCACCATTACAAGAAAACATGACTGGGGTACTCCTCTCATCATAATCACTGACGCAGATTGCAGTTGTTATGGTGGGTGGAGTAACTCTTTAAATGCATGTTTCTGCTGACTACATTTAGCACTCTCCTTCTGTGTTGCCTCAATATATATGCAGGTTTATTCACCAAAGTGAGGATTGAAAAAGGACCATTTAAGTCACCCAGACCAGTGCAGTGGTCCTGTCATTTTAACCCTGTGATGTAAACCCTTGCCGATTTGTAGAAACAGCAATGTTTACATTGTAGGATTAAACACTCCACTAGTGCTATTTTACAGGCAGCCAATGTAAGTGCATCTACTGCACTGACCAAAGTTAAACTTGGACACATGACTTTGCAGCATATAGGAAAGCACTACATTCAATGCTTTCCTAAGAGAAGCATTGGATTTGCATTTGGCACATGTTTACAACATCATGGGAGTCAAAGAGGTGAGCAGCACCAAGGGAAAATCAGCTCTGGAAAAAAATAAATAAAAAGTGTTTATATATATTTATTTTTATTTATTTTTATGGCAGGGAGCCCAAATTTAACTAGGAAAAGGGGTATGTAGCGTTAGGAATACAGGTTTGTTTTCATTATTCTATAGTGTTCCTTTAAGACCAAAATAGCTGACCTGACTATTTTGCCATACATTTTGAAATTTAAAGTTTTTAAAATGCAGCACAATTTCTGCACAAATCTGACATGAACTGAAAATGCTGGCAGCAATCACACTCCTATCACTCTCAGGCAGCCAGTACATGTCGGGATCTCTGAGATCCCAGCATGCACAATTCTGTTACTGATAAGTGTGTTCACGGTCAGTAGTCACACTCCTATCTATCACTATCAGCCATATTACAGTTGATTGCTCCACATGTGGGGACTCACAGGGAGGAGTGACATGAGACTGCAAGGTGGCGTCTCATCGGCTGACAGCTGGGGTTTCCAGACGCGAATTATGGCGTACGGTTACTGCAAGACGTGAGAAGGTTGTTGCTAATATTGGTAAATTACAAGGTTGATACTGGTTATCAGAAATATGCTGAATATTGGCTCTAAAAAAAGAACAGATAATCGGTCTATCTTGAAGACATAAAAATTATAGTATGTACTAGCCGTAATAACAGTGAGGTACAAAGGTATAACATATCTTTTCCAGACACAATTTTAAATATACAATTTTTTTTTTTTTAAATTAAACTATTTAAAATGCCAGC